GAATTATCAGACAATAAAAAAAAAAAAAAAAAAAAAAGAAACAACCCGAAAACCAAAACCGTTGCTGTAGAGTCGATTCCCTATGAGTCGGTAGGAGTATCAGACCCATCCTCCACCAGATAGATGTAACGGTCCAGACCAGGAAGCGTTTGCGTTTTCATCTAGAATACACATAAAATTCTTGCCTCTTCTCCCTTAATCTTGTATTATCTAACAGTCAATTTCTTCCAACCGAAAAAAAACAACCCTGAAAATCATGCACGATCGCCTTCACGGCTGGCTTTTTGGGATTTGTAGTTCCGGCCTATTCCCTAGCGTCGTTTCCGATTCTGGTCATGTGACTTAGGTCAAGGCCATCCCCCCGCCCCACCAACCGCGTCTTCTTCCAGGTCCTCAGACAGACACGTCACTCCTCGGCGCTCAACCAAACTGCTTGGAGCGCGTTCTTTCTGCGCTTTTCGCTCGCACACGCAGGCCTATGACAGCTCGGCGGGAGCACATATCCCCGCCTCTGGACTTCTAAATGACATCCTTCTTGTCCAGTGAAGAATGGGGAGAGCGGCTTTGCCCCCGCCTCTGATCCTGACAGACAGTCACACCAGCCTATAGCGTTCTCGAAGAGCCGTATTGGCACTGAGCCCGCCAATGGGGAGCGGTGCCGGGCACCGCCAGTTTGGTTGCGCCTCTGAACGGATGGCAGACGGAGCCGAGTGGATTCCTGAGGAACGTCGGCCAGGTGAGAAGGCGATGGAAGCTAACCTGAAAATTAGCGGCGGTGCAGGCTAGAGCGTTGGTGGGGCTGAACGGAGTGCAGGTGGTCGGTCTCTAAAGGGAAGGAGCCGAGCTTGGGGCCTTGCCGGGGAGGGGGTGTGGGGACATCTTGGAATGGAAGGATGTGAAGCTTTGGGAAGGGAGGGTAGGGTGATAGTGGGGATGGGGCTGGCGTTGAGGCCAGGAGGGCATGGAAACGGGATTCGGGGGCTAGCCTTGCAGGGGCAGGGGCTTAGGGCGCTGAGGTGGTGGGGTGTCCGCGGTGGGCGTTGTCAGAGGTGTCCAGTTGTGTAAGGGCGGGAGCGAGAGGGACCTGCAGGCGAGGGCGGAAGTTAGAGGCTTGGGGAGAACAGGTGTGTGAGAGGGTGTGGAAAGGTGTGTAGGAACCGTGGGGGTAGGGGAGTTGCAGTCTTGGGAACTGGAACTAGGATGGGACAAGGATATCACAGCTCGCAGGGCACATTGAGGAGGAGAGCAGATGGTGCGTGTATTAAGAAAAGTGTCTTAGCCCTTACCTGCTTTCCCCGTGTGGGAAAATTACCAGAGAGCACACGAGGAAAACTCCCTTAGGGCCCTGCCCGAAGTTAGCAGCTCCTGCACTCAGCTTTCGGGGGGAAGTCCTAGTCCCATCATTTCCTCTGCTTACCCTTCTAGGTGTGTGGCTGTACAGCTCAGTGGTGTTAAATTTGTTTCTGGTTCGGGCATTCCATAAAACAGTTAGAAACCCGAGGGATGTGGCTGGATTGTGGACTTCGGGAGTTAGGTGTTTATTCTTGATGCAGGATAAGGTTTTCCTTTGGGATTATAATTAAAAACACATATGTACAACTGCTCTTCTGGGACAGTTAATTATGCAAAAGATGCTTGACTTCCCAGTGTAGAAGATGAGAACGTATGCTTCTTATGCCTTCCACCTTGCCCAGCGTTCCCCTCCCCGCGTCTTTTCCTACAGTAACTGAAATAAAGATCAGGAGGATGCACATTTCTATTTTTTTCTGCATAGTCTTGAACAATGCTACCTATTCTTTATTGTATTCTTCAGCATTTGATGCTTGGCTGGTTTATGACTTAAGAAGGCGGAACTGTCTTATACAGAAGTAGCTAACTTCCTGAACATTTTATTTTATTCTCTGCCCCCCTCCCCGACCACCCAGCTTTCTCTGCTTCAGTGGGAAATATTTATTTTCTCTGCCCTCCAGATTATCATCTGGTGCCATGAGCCATCTCTGTGTCATGGAATCCATCTCTTAAATTAGCAGTGTCAGTTACAGAGATGCCTTGAGACAGCTGACTGGAAGAGGGGATAGATCCCAGCAGTGGTTACAGTGTGATATGTAGGATTTAAGGTATAGTGATCTCTGTATGTGCATCTCCCCGTCTTTTTTAGTGCATGATTATAAAAGTATTAGTGATCAATCATGCTCTTTAGTTGACCCTATGACCCCATTGGGATTTGGAACAAAAAGAAGCTTGTAGCCGGTGGGTTGAAGCCTAAATTTAGGGCTGGAAGTTGTGCTGATTCAGCCATGACTTCTTTTTTTTGTTTCTGCTGTCACATCTATACTCAATATTTATTCCTTGCTTTCTTTCATACACTGCTGGATTTTTCCAGGTGCTTTCTTTCTCCGTTTTGTTGTTTCTCTGTTTCTGATCTTTTCTGTTTTCTTTGCATCCTTTCCCTTTGCCTTCTTTTTTCTATTTGTGTTTCCTCTCTACTCCTGTTGCACCACACTCTTAGCACTTGTACTTATATACGTGTTAGCTGTGAGGGAGTGGGAAATGGAATGATGGGTGATGGATTCTGATCACTCCTTTTTAGTCTTGACACATAGACCTTCTGACTTGTGCCTACTTCCCTGCCAGTAGATCATACTTAAGACAAGGCTTAGGTATTAGTATTTGCCCTGGCCCTCCCTGGTGTGTTGGCTAGCTCATGTCTCTTTCTGGTTCTCTGCCACCATAAAATATGAAGGGTAATTAGGTAATTAAAAGGTGTTCAATAGCCTATTGTCTTGATTTTTCCTTTTTAGCTATTTGAGTGTCATCTATTGCCACCCACTGATGTCAGGATGACTAAGCTGGGATTTTTGCGGCTGTCCTATGAGAAGCAGGACACACTTCTGAAGCTTCTCATTCTATCAATGGCTGCTGTGTTATGTGAGTGTGCACCTTGACCTCTCTCTTTGGGGATGGACAGGAGAAAATCTTGAATTCGACGAGAAGGGCTTTTTAAAAAATACCCTGTTCTTTTTTAACACTCCCTATCAGTATAATTTTATGAAGGCAAAATAAAAGAAGCACAAAAAATGTAAAAGTCAGGCTAGTGATCACCTGGAGGAGAATGGGAGGCATGCTGTGCTAATTCTGTTTGCTCAGAGGACTGAAAGAGGTGCTGAGGACCCTTGGATACTGCATTTTGTAAAGGATAATTGTCCTCAATTTAGGTGCCTACCTTAGTATTTATATATATATGGAGACCTGGTGGTGCAGTGGTTAAGAGCTTGGCCACAAACCAAAAGGTTGGCAGCTCGAGTCCACCAGCTTCTCCTTGGAAACCCTATGGGACAGTTCTACTCTGTCCTGTAGGGTCGCTAAGAATCAGAATCAACTCAACAGCAATGGGTTTCGTTTTTTTTTTTAGGTGAGAGTTTACAGTACAAATTATTTTTTTATTCAAAAATTTATACATAACAACAACAAAAAAGTTTATACACAAATTGTATAATGACATTGGTTGCAGTCCCCACAATGTGTCAGCACTCTCCCCTTCTCCATCCCGGGTTCCCCGTGTCCATTGGTCCAGTTTTCCTGTCCCTTCCTGCCTTCTCATCTTTGCTTTCGGGCAGGTGTTGCCTGTTTGGTCTCATATACTAAGAAGCACATTCCTCACGTGTGTACCTTAGTATTTTTGAAAGTCTCTTGAGAACTTCCTCTGTTTTTTAGATTTCTTGGCTCTTCATGAGTCGTAAGTATAGTCTTACTTGCCTTATGTCTTAAGTTTGCTCTAAGGTTAAGGTTAGTTTGGCGGGGATAGTAATCAACATGTATAAAAGATGAACATGAAGTTGAGTGAAGTGTTAGTGGGTGGATGTAATGTTACAGGCCTTGTGTAAGTAGTTAAACGTGTCCTATGAGGTAGAAAATACAGATGTCATGGTCAGGGGCAAGCGAACTTTTGTTTCCTCCACGTGGGGAGAGATGGATAAATACTTTATTCAGAAATTATTTTATATTTCCAGTGACCTCTTTACTGTTAATACTAGAATCATTGCTCTTTCATGACACATGACCAATAGAATATTAATTCTCTGGTTTTTGCAGCTTTCTCCACTCGTCTCTTTGCTGTCCTGAGATTTGAAAGTGTTATCCATGAGTTTGATCCGTAAGTATCTTTGGTTGGTCTGGTATTACTTCCTTTGGGAGGTATTCAGGTTCATAGGTTTCAGATTAAAATTTTAATAAGCTCTCAGTGATGAAGATGTGCTTTCAGCAAATTTAGAGGAAAAAGTCTTGCAGTTTTCCAAAGGAGTTAGTTTCTCCTTTGAAAACATTTCTATTGGAATTGGTCAAGTGAGTCTCTGAAACTCATAAAAAACGTGAGCGCATTGCTGCTAGGCCTGCCTGTCCCTCAAGATCTGGGTCAGCTAAGGGAAGACTGGCTTCTCCCCCTAGTTGGAAGGTAATGATGCACATCGAGGGAAGTAGTCCTGGTGTGTATTCGACACTCAAAAGAAAAGCCACCAGTCATGAACTTGAGATCTGTGACATGGTGTTTTATTGTTGTTTTTTTCCATTGGACAATGTATATGATAGGAATTGGGCTTATCGGTTAAGTTTTAAAGCATCGAGGAAAATATAAAGCAATGAATTTGAGTAGAGATTTTGTTTGTTAGATAAAAAAGAGAAAGGTGAAAGTCCTTAGCAGGATTAATAGCTAACTTTTACTGCGCGTTTATTTTGTTCCAAGCACTTTTTTTTTTAAGCAGATTACCTCTAAATCCTTACAGCAGCCCTGTGAGCTGTAGGTACTGTGATTCCTTTTTCACAAATGAGGAGAGTGAGGCCCAGAGGGGTTGAATTGACTTATCCAAGGTTACGCATTTAGTAAGTGGAGGAGCCAGGATTTGAGTCTAGGTTTGTCTGACTCCAGAGACTAGTCTCTTAATCACTATGTTATATTGCCTAAAGGTAGGACTTAATAAAAAATTGGGAGGGCCAGAATTATAGGTTCTTTTTTTAATTGTGGTAAAATATATATAACAAAAGACTTGCCATTTCAAACATTCAGAATTACAGGTTCTTGAAGTATCGTTGATATCTTAAAAATAGCATGTTAAGCTTGTGGAGCATTGGTTCAAAGGTTTAGTACCTACATATATTTGCAAATGTATCATTTTGTTTTGTGTAGACATTTGAAAGCACTTTGGAGACATACAAGTATTTACTTTGGGGTTTCCAAAATCAATTTATATTTTTTCTCACAAATGAGAATGTCACTAGTCTGTTAGGGCTTCCTCATGAGACTCTCTGATGAGCAAATACTGCAGTGAGATGATCAGGGGAAGCAAGACTATCACTCTCTGTAATCATAGAGCTGGAAGGACTGTAAAGATCATGAGACTTGACACTTCATTTTGCAGAGGAGGGAACTGAAGCCCAGCGTGTTAGTGAGTTGCTGACAATTTGGTGACATCTGGGACTAGGTCCCATGTCTCCTGATCCCAGTCAGACCTGTTTCCACAACTTCTACTTGTCTGTCTCTCCTGCTGTTAGGTAGAGGACACAATTCTGACACGCTGACTGCCTGCTACCCTCATTCCTCCCGTCTCTTTGACAGTTACCAAAATAACATTTGTCAGTGACAAGCAGGACAGAGATTTCTGCTCTCTGCTACTTCTGCTTATTTCTGCTTCTGAAATTGGGCCGACCAAGGAGGAAATAGGGTTGGGAAGGAGGCAGGGAGGGTGATAAGTCATGATTATCTCTAGTAATTAAAGTTCCTTAGCTTGATACCCTTTTACTGATTTTTTTCCCCCCTTGCTTCCTTCCTTCATTCCTTCTTTTCTTTTTAAATGAGAAACTTAAGGGAAGGGGTTACATAGCTTTGGACCTAAAGAACTATGTCTTTCCATGTATAGCTCTAAGCATTTTATCTCAGGAATCTTTTGATCTACCACCATGTATGGTGGCATTCAGAAATATTCTAAATAACAATGTGAGTGGACTCATTGTAAGTTTAAACTTTCATTAAGAAGTTTGTTTTGTGAATTAAAAACTTTTCATCCTGTGTGTAACATGAACCTGGAATTATCCACATGTTCTCGTGCATGGTGTAGAAAGGTTCTTTTATATATTCCTGTCATTTGAAAAGAGCCGAAAACCTGTTGTTGCCCACATCTCAGCTGCCTTTTCTTTTGGGTGCTTGACTGGTCCTAATGCCTGCCACATGGCAGTCTGAACTAGCCTGCTTATTGCTTTGCTGTAATGTGAAGACTTCAGTTTCATTTCCTTATGAGAGAAGCAGTACTTCAGCTGAGACAAGCGTCGCGCTAGAAATGAGGAGACTTACGGTCACTTAAGGTGATTTTCATGGTTGGCATAATTTTTGGTAGCAAACTGCCTTTTATTGGACTAGTGGTTTAAGTTAGTCTTGTGAAAGGAAAGTTCCTCAGTGGTGTAACCTGAGGAGCCAGGTCCCCTGCAGACTGGTGCAGGTATTTGAGTATGAAGAGGAGGAGACACAGATCTTTTTCTTTCCTGCCGTAGGTACTTTAATTATCGGACTACCCGGTTCCTGGCTGAGGAGGGGTTTTATAAATTCCATAACTGGTTTGATGACCGGGCCTGGTACCCTTTGGGACGAATCATTGGAGGAACAATTTACCCAGGTGAGGGGAACAGGAATTTTTTCTTTTTTTTAAAACAAATTTGTATATTTGTATAGTATTTTAAACAAATTGGTGTTTGTGTATTGTAGAACAGTTTGTTTTATTCCAATAGCTTCATTTTGAGACACTTGTAATTTTTATCCTGAGTACATGGGGTTGCCATGAGTCGGAATCTAGTCAACAGCAACTAATAACAACAACACAGGTTCCTAAAAGTGGATCCCATACAGATGGGAACGTGGGTGGTACAGTGGGACTGGGTGGCATGTGTACCTTCTGGACATGTGATTGAATTCTTAGGAGAGAAATTTGTAGGCCTCCTGTGTGTGCTGTGTTAGTGTCTCTGGTGCTTTGTCTAGACCTGTGGAGTCACTTTCTTGATAACTGGCTTCACCTTCTCTCTCCCTGAAGTTGTTTGTCTTACTAGGAGAACCTAATGGAGTTTCTGTTCCTGTTAACAGGCTTGATGCTCACCTCCGCTGCGATCTACCACGTACTCCATTTTTTGCACATCACCATTGACATTCGGAACGTCTGTGTGTTCCTGGCTCCTCTCTTCTCCTCCTTCACTACCATCGTCACCTACCACCTCACCAAAGAGCTCAAGGTGAAGGGTCTGGGGAGACGGGAGCTGGGGTGGATGTTGTTGAACCCCTCTAGCAGATGCTGAAGGGTGGGGGTTTGAGAACCTTGCAGAGGGCAGGGAGACAGCTAAAGACAGCTTTTGCTGGGCAGAATGATTGGGTTCATTCTCACCCATCCCTAGAATGTGTTGTTTTTTTAATCATTAGCAACTGTTTGTCTTTATGAGAGAATATTTGAAGGTCAAATGTAAATTGCTAAGTTATAAAAAAAATATTGAAAATGCATATGTAAGGTTTAGATTTTGAAGTTCTCAGAGTCTAAGGGAAGAAAGAAACAATGGGGAACTTTCCAAAGTGATTGGTTCTTTTCTCTAATAGAAGTAAGCACTTAGCAATTGTTTGTTGATTTTTTTTTAAACATTTACTTTAAAATTCTTAAACCGTTTGGTTCTGGAGTGGACTCCGTAATGCTGACTGTGTCTTTCCACGTTTCAGCATTGCTGACCTTGGCTCCTTGGATGCTATTCTTAGTTTATGGTGTCAGGGAGATCCCTGAGAGGTGACAATTAGGAGGAGGGCTTGGGAAACCTGAGTTTAGTGTGGAGGCCTCTTTATCCTTCTCCTTGCTGTCCTTGTCCCAAGCTTGACTCTTACCAACAGACAAGTCCTTACTCTTTTGGAATGTGAGTTATATTTTGTTGCGTCCCTCTCCTGAGCTCACAGATTGCCTGTAATAGTCCAACTTTATTACCTAAGCTCCTGGCATCTTTAGTCCAGGTAGATTATCATGTACCTTTGTTGGCTTTTAGGTGAAATAATAATAATTCTTTTCCTTTGACTGTCCTTGCATGACTTTTAGAGGTGTGACTGGTGTTCCTGTGATGTGCAGATAGTACTAGGGAGAGGGACTGAGCAGCCTGGGGACATGACAGCCAAACAGCCCGTTCTGGGGCAGTTTCTGATGTGTGACAGCTCACATAATTTGTCTGTCTTCAGCATATATGTACTCCGTTTCAGATTTGGTATCATGAGGGGGTGTTGTTGTGAAGTTTTTAGCTTTCTTGTGCTGTGAGCTTTCCTAGTCATCTCACATCTGCCTTGGAAGCTGTTGGCCTGTTCTCTGGGCCCAGGCAAACACAGCGGCCTAGCTGGATGCTGTCCTCTCCTTTCTTATTGGCATATTGGTGTTAATAACTTCCTGCTGTCCCCCTCTTACAGGATGCAGGAGCTGGGCTTCTTGCTGCCGCCATGATTGCTGTCGTTCCTGGATACATCTCCCGATCTGTGGCTGGCTCCTATGACAATGAAGGTAAGGCTTTGAAGTAGATCTGTTCACTTTGCTATCCAATAGAGCTTCGTGAAGTACAGTAGAATCTGCGTTCAGATTTTTTGCTTAGCAATAGCAAAAATGGTATCACAGTGAGAAAAGTAGAAATGGCGTTCCATTTAGAAAGGCAACTGGTACTTACAGGCCATTGGCTGGTTTCTAGAGTCATAAAAGTAGTTAATTTTTACTGTTGGATGACACTATTGTTTTAACATTATGATCGTCTGCTTTCTTTTCCTAGATAAGGGCAATGGATGTCTTTTAAAACTATAATTTTATTGGCTTATTTTCAACTCAGTATATCTTTATTGAACGTTATTGACAAAACACAGTAATAACTATTATAGAGGTAGTTAATGAATATAATTATGTTGCCTTAGAATCTATTCAGGAAGATAAATATGTACCTGTAAAAATAATAACAGTCAGATAGCAGTGTGAGCCAGAATAGAAGTATGAACAGAGTACTTTGGGAATGTGGGGAAAGGAGAGGTTAATTCAGATTTGGGGATCAGGGAAGACTTTTTGGAAGTCCCTGAAGTTGGGACTTCCTTAGGCAAATATTGAGGAGAAGGGCATTCAGGGTGTAAGGACCAGCTTGTGTTAAGATGTGGAGACAGGACGGTGCATGACAGAATGGGTATCTTTCGGGCTATCCTAGTGGGGAGTTTAGTGCTTGGAAAGAGCAGTAATAATAATGGCCACACTTGCTAAGTGTTTACCGTATGCCAAGCACTGTTCTGAGTGCTTTACACCAGTTAAATTGTCTCCAATTTAGTAGGTACTATTAATTTCTTTCTTTTTGTAGGAACCTGGGACAGATAGAATAATTTACCTAAAATTACACCTCTAATCGGTAATAAGGAGCCCTGGTGGCACAGTGGATACAGCACTTGGCTGCTAATTGAAAGGTTGGCAGTTTGAACCCACCAGCTGCTCTGCAGAAGAAAGATGTGGCAGTCTGCTTCTGTAAAGATTTACAGCCTTGGAAACCCTATGGGGCAGTTCTCCTCTGCCCTTTAAGGTTGCTATGAGCCGGAATCGACTCAGTGGCAACGAGTTTGGTTTTTTTAATAGGTAGTAGAGCTGAGATAGGAAAGCAGGCAGTCTGGTTCCAGTACAGTGTTCCTGACCAAGGTTTCGCATGTTCTCTTCTTGAATATTGGTGTGTTCTTTCTGCAGGGATTGCTATCTTCTGCATGCTGCTCACCTACTACATGTGGATCAAGGCAGTAAAGACTGGTTCAATCTATTGGGCGGCCAAGTGTGCCCTTGCTTATTTCTACATGGTAACTTTTCACTTCATTCTTCCAGGAGTCTCTCTAGGTCTCTTGGGATCAACTGATATGAGTTGGACTTTGAACTCATTGACTGGGGGCTAGAAGTCCTTATTGTCTCTTGTCTCCACATGAAGTCTGTCCTAGGGCAGGCATGGATGTCCATTGTATAATAGCAAGATCGAGATAATGTTTTTAATTTTCAAAGTTTCTTCAAATACTCTGTTTATTATAAGTAAATATTGGTTGGCCAACTCTCTTTTCTGGTATACATTCACTTGGACTTTCTTCCTTAGCTGCTTACGTTTGCTCACGTTTCCCAGATAGCCCTGAATCCTCGTGTGACCTTCAGAGTAGACTGGTGTCTCGCCTAGACTGACGCTCAGGGTTGAGCTCTCTTGTTATGTGATTATGATGTCCGTAGCCTCAGGGAGGAGGAATTAAATTATGGTAACGGGTGTGACTGTGATCTTCCTGCTTACTAAGATTAGTTACGTAAACTCCTTAAACCCCTTGGAATGAATGAAGTTTGTAGTTACTGTGAAGAGATGTACTTTGATGAAGTCACAGGTGATGTCTTAGGCCGAGTGGTGGTGGTCTGGAGAAGTGCTCAGAAGCTGTCGTTTCCTGTCCTGTTTTAGGTCTCCTCGTGGGGAGGCTATGTGTTCCTGATCAACTTGATCCCCCTCCACGTGCTGGTGCTGATGCTCACAGGGCGCTTCTCCCACCGCATCTATGTGGCCTACTGCACTGTGTACTGCCTGGGCACCATCCTCTCGATGCAGATCTCCTTTGTGGGTTTTCAGGTGAGTCCTAGACAGAGTGGGTTTTCAGCGTCTTCCAGTTTTCCTAACAGAGCCAACTAGATGGATCTGTCGTGGATTCTGATAAAGAGAGTAAAACTTGTTCTCAGCTCTGATCTTGGACTGCTCGTGTTAACTAATGCAGGGGCATCACTGGCCATTACGTCTGCCTTCAGGAGTGTGTTACTATTTGCTCCGTGAAATCTGAGTTTAAAGACTCTTACTCTGTCTTGGTTTTGTGGGAGGAGGACGGATGTTTTGGTTGAGCTGACTTGATACGCGTGATCAAAGTTATTATTTCCAGGCCTTTTTGATGTTGTGACCCCTAAACTCACTGGGGTCCAGTGTAAGTCCTTTAGGAAGCAAAGCACAAACCTTTTAACCACATGATCCCATAGAGTTAACAGACAATTATTAAAGCAGAGAAAGTGGTGTGTTTGATTTCTCATGTAAAATTTTCATAAAAGTGGAATCCTGATTCAGAGGTCAGCAAGTACTTCTTTACTGATGGCCTGCTATATGCACTTTGCCAGTCACTGTGAAATGTAAAAAAGGCTAAGAAATGGCTCTGGTTTTTGAGGACGTCACAGACACGTTGGGGAGGAAGTGCATGAAGCCAACCGTAGAACATCGGTTATGGTCTAGTGCGTCTGGCCGTGTAGTTCCTGGACCGGCACCATCAGCACCATCTGGGACTTTGTAAAGATGAAAAGTCTCCAGTCCCAGCGCAGGCCTGCGAATCGGCAGCTCTTGGGATGGGGCCCAGCAATCTGTTTCAGAAAGCTCTCCTCACTCAGCCTGGGACTGTGGTGCCCAGTACAGTTTAATGACCACGGTGTAAAGCAAAGAGTGGTTAAGTGCTCGAGGAGCTACAAGGTCTGTGGATCATACGGGAGGGAGTGGTCGATCCCAGTTCAGCAGATTAGAAGGAGACTGGCATTGGGTCTTAAAGGGTGAGAACTTCAGGGAATGGAAATTTGGGGGAGAAGAGGGAAGAATTGCAATCCAGGCTAAGGAAGTAACCTGAGCGAAGGCCGGAGATGTGATAATGACAGTGCATGATAATGCTTTTGGGGATGACAGGTAACCTTTGGAAAATGTGGCAGGTAAGTTAGAACCTCCCCTAGATAAGGTGTTGATTTCTTGGTGGCCTTAGAACTCATTTGACCCTTGGGTCTGAACTAGGTGAGAAGAATTCAGGTCTGCACTGGCTCCCTTCCTTTTTTTCTGCCTCAACGCTATTTCCATACATACGCTTTCACCTGCAGCCTGTTCTTTCGTCAGAGCACATGGCAGCCTTTGGAGTCTTCGGTCTCTGCCAGATCCATGCCTTTGTGGATTACCTACGCAGCAAGCTGAATCCACAGCAGTTTGAAGTCCTGTTCCGGAGCGTCATCTCCCTGGTGGGCTTTGTCCTTCTCACCGTGGGGGCTCTTCTCATGCTGACAGGTAGGGAAAGCGTGCAGCTTTCAGTGCTGAATGCACATGGGCGTGGACAGGATAAAGCAGACACAGTGGGTGTCTCCTCACTAAAGGAAAATGCTTTCTTTTCCTCCTGTGTCTCCTTTCATGTCGAGCATACAAACTACCGCTTCTTCACGTTCAGTTTGACACTGACCCTGACCATCTGGGTTCAGCCTAGCAGAGAATGTCTTGTTAGAACAGCTCTGAATCTCCGACGAACCACACCTGGTGAAAGACCTTTATCACTTTTCTAACCTGTCTCCTACGTTTTTATTTCTCACATTGGTAGGGTGGGAGAAGTCTTACTGTTTGCTGTACTGTACAACGTGGCGTTCTTGTAATCCTTCACAGACTAAACCATGGCTGTCTAGTTAGGGTGGCCTGTCACATCTTCTGTCTTCTCCATTTTTGCCAGTTGCACTTTTCAGAGGCGAATTTGATTTTGTCCAAGACTCTGTGTATTGGCTAATTCAGAATAGCCCTGAAAGACTAAGATGACTTAGTTTCTAGAGTTGGCCTTGGACTCACCAGATTTGACTTCAGACCCCTCCAGGAAGCATGTCTGCCTCCATTCTTCTGAGTTTTCCATACAGCCTGGCTTTCTTCTGCTGCCTGTGCTGATAAACGAACTCTCAAGGTTAGAAGAAAGGAAGGAGTGGACCTATTAAAGTATTGGTGGCATTTTAACAAAAACCTAGTCCTCTTGTCTCTGAGAATCTGCTTAAAATGGAAAGTTGTGATTAGTTGGGAGTAGATGTTAGTTTGTTTCTGGAGTGTTTGTGAATTATGTGTTGTCTCTTTGCTGCCAGGAAAAATATCTCCCTGGACGGGGCGTTTCTACTCACTGCTGGATCCTTCATATGCTAAGAACAACATCCCCATCATTGCTTCTGTGTCCGAGCATCAGCCCACGACCTGGTCCTCGTACTATTTTGACCTGCAGCTCCTTGTCTTCATGTTTCCAGGTCTGTGTTCGGATGTGGCCTCCTTCAGAATAATTACCATTTCGTTCAGGATATGTCAGCTGCCCTCGCCCATGTTGTTTTTGTCTGTTTATCCCGTGCAGTGCAAAGGATGGCTAAGCACATTTTTCTAATACCTGAAGCAGAGGAGAAGTCAGAAGCCTCACGGTTGTAGATACTGGCAAGCTCAAAGCCTCGTGGTTTAAAATTCAACTCTAATTTTTATTCAAAAAAATTTTTTTTAACGTACTTCTAGTGTTCTGCCCTCTCCCCATTCCCCCATACACACACAGACACGCACACACACACTCATTTCTTCAGAATAGGCATGACTGATTGTGAATTGTAAAGCCTTTTCTAGGTTATCTTCTGGCCAATCCAGAATCCGAATTTTAGAATTTACCAGTGGTAGTCGTCTTCTCTCTTATAAGATTACTATGATTATTATTATGAAAGCAATTTATTTATTGCAAAAACTATAGACAGTGAAAAAGAAAAAGGTAAAAATTGCAAGAGTCCTCAGCACCCGTCTGTAGCCACGTTTTGATATATAGTCATCCAGTTATTTAATGAATACAAATGAGATCATAGTTTTTTCCGTGATTTTTTTTTTACTTCATAAAAAAAATCATGATGTTTTCTCTGTTATTTAATGTTACTTTATAGTAATAATACTTAAGATATATGTATTTTAAGTACAGAGATATGTAAAGAAGGAGGCAAACGGCCTGTAATCTTATACAGCAATATTTGAATTGGTATGTGTTCCATTTTATAAATATAATTAACTAGCTCCTTATTGGACATTTAGGTTGTTTCTAATTTTATGCTGTTTTTAAAGAGTGCTGTAGTAAACATCTTAGGATCTAAATCTTTGCACGTGTCTGTGATTGTTTTTTCAGAATAAATTCCTGAAAGTGGAATTGCTGGGGTAAATTTATGGAATCATCCAGTCATATAGTGAAGACACTTTTCATTGTGGGTTTCTACCTGCAGGGCTCAGCTGCTTACTTCTTCTTCCCTGTTTTATAGTTGGCCTCTATTACTGCTTTAGCAACCTATCGGATGCCCGGATTTTTATCATCATGTACGGTGTGACCAGCATGTACTTTTCAGCTGTAATGGTGAGGAGTGCCCCCAGTCCTAGCAAACCTTTCCACCTTTAATTCTGAGGTGCTTTTTCCTGTCCGGCATGATTCAGAAAGTATTGATGGTTGTCCGGACGGTTCCCTGTGAACATTTGAGAGGCTGAGTTGTGAAGCTGGCAGGTAGTGTGGATCCTTCCCAGGAATGTAGGAGGCACACGGGGCCCAGCTCTCTGGGATTCATAACCTTGTGCTATAGAGGCTCTTTTGCACTTTGTTGAAGAATGTGACCCCAGGCATGTTACTTCCCCTCTCCTTTTGAATGTCGTAAAAAGGGAGATGTTTTTTCTTGAAGCTCTGGAAGGATTTCCCAGTGCCAGATTATTAAAAGACAGAAGGGATTTTATATATCGAAGTAAGACATTGGAGTCCCTGGGTGGTCCAAACTGTTAACATGTTCCATTGCTAACCAAAAGGTTTGAGGTTGGAATCTACGCAGAGGTACCTCGGAAGAAAGATCTGGCGATCTACTTCCAAAAAATGAACCACTGAAAACCCTGTGGAGCACAGTTCTACTCTGACACACACGGGGTCGCTGTAAGCTGGAGCCCACTTCAGGGCAACTGGTTTAGTTAGACAGTGTGTCACAGACTTTTTTGATCCTAAGTCAGAGTTAAGAAATACATTTTATATACATTTTATATCGTTACTCAGGATACACATACAGTAGGTATATAACTGCAACAAAATTTTAAAACGTATGTACTTCTATGACTTTAACTGTATCAAGTATATTTTGTTTTTTTCTATTTCATTGGAAAATCATGTTGGTTGAAAACTCCTAAACAGATATGGTGATCTACTAATAGGTTGCAGTCTGTAATTTGTAAAACTCTGATGAGAATGTGATCCTGCTTCCTGTCTCTTCTAGGTTCGTCTGATGCTCGTGCTGGCGCCTGTTATGTGCATACTTTCTGGCATTGGAGTCTCCCAGGTGCTGTCCACATACATGAAGAATCTGGATATCAGTCGTCCAGATAAGAAGAGCAAGAAGCAACAGGATTCTACCTACCCTATTAAGAATGAAGTGAGAATTAAGCAATGCTAAGAACAGGCTTGGGAGACCCGTATGTGTGTGTGTGCGCGCGCGTGTGCGTGCGCGCGCGTGTGCGTGCGTGCGTGTGTGTGTGCACGTGCACGTGACTGTGAGTTTTGGGGGTGGGGAAGTAGAGAGCTGTCATTAATGGTCGTAATTAAATGGTGATCATTCCCTAGCCCCGGACTTGAGCTGTCTCATCTGTGCTGTGTAACTCTGGTTTGGTTTACTGCACACGTCTCCTCCTTGTTCAGGTGGCAAGTGGGATGATCCTGGTCATGGCCTTCTTTCTTATCACCTACACCTTTCATTCAACCTGGGTGACCAGCGAGGCCTACTCTTCGCCCTCTATCGTGCTGTCTGCCCGCGGTGGGGATGGCAGTAGGATCATTTTTGATGACTTCCGAGAAGCATATTATTGGCTTCGTCACAATACTCCAGAGGTGAAGATCTGGGAGTGGTGGGGATGAGGGGAAGGGGAGACGTTTGATATTACAGTGAGTCATACAGCTTTTAGATGGTTGGAAAACTTGGATAAATCGCAGCTGTAGAACCTTGGTTTTGCAAGAGCCTTAAAGGTCCTGTAGCCAGTCTCTACTCAGTTCAGGGATTTCACTGATTAGTGACCTTACTCTGAAGGAGCCCTGGTGCGCAGTGAGTAAAGCTCTTGGCTGCTAACTGGAAGGTCAGCAGTTTGAACCCACCAGCCTCTGCATGGGAGAAAGATGTTGCAGTCTGCTTCTGTAAGGATTACACTTCTGCTCTGTCCTGCAGGGTCACTGTGAGTCGAAATCAACGACTCACAGCATTGACTTTGGTTTTGGCTTGGACCTTTCTCTGATAATCATCTAGACTCTGCCTGGACACTTGAATTGACAGGGTGGTGATTTTATCTTAAGATAGACCTATCCCAATTATAAAAGCTCTATTAAAAGAAGAAAAAAAGTTACAAGTAAATAATACATGTTCATTGAAGGAAAATCAGAAAGTAGAAGCAAGAAAAAAGATAAATCTGCAAGTGATCACCTAATGATTACCACTTTTAGCATTTTAGTTTATATCTTTGGAGAATCTGAAGTGATTTGCTTTGCAGTAACTCTTGGGAATATTGTTGTTAGGTGCCATCAAGTCAATTTTGACTCATAGCGACCCTGTTTGACAATTAGAACTCCCCAGAGGGTTTGCTAGGCTGTAATCTTTACTGGAGCAGCAGATCGCCAGGTCTTTTCCCTGGAGGACCACTTGGTGGGTTCAAATCACCAACCTTTTGGTTAGCAGCCAAGTGCTTAACCATTGCACAACCAGGGCTCATTCTGCTGGGAATAGCACTTTTAAATCAGATGCTTTAGGAGTCAAACTTTAAGAGTCTTAATCCTTGCCCATCATTTTCTGTGATTTGTGTTTTTCCCCCATCCTTATAACTGATTTTTGTGATAATGTTAAAAGGTCATTTTATTTAATAAAATTATCTAATGACATCAGGCTGTTTATTTGGAAATTTTACACAGCCCCTCACTTTATGCTTGTTTATATAAAGTGAGCTGGGATGGAAATATTGGGGCTATTGGATTGTCTAATTTATGCGGAGACTTCATGATTGTTTATAAATGCAGGACCAGGTGCAACGGTCTGTTTTTTGGTAAGGCAGGTATTACTCTGTGAAGAGGTTGATTTGATTGGCATGCCTCACTTATCAATTCAAAGATGCCCTTTCTCTACTCTTGCATTTTTTTTTGGAGGCAGTGAGTAGCCCCCATTTCCACTTTGTATTCTTTCAGGATGCAAAGGTCATGTCATGGTGGGATTATGGCTACCAGATTACAGCTATGGCAAATCGGACAATTCTAGTGGACAATAACACATGGAATAATACCCATATTTCTCGAGTAGGGCAGGTAAGGTGAAGTTTTTTGTTTTGATCCTTTTTTTCTTTTGAGTGTTTGGCGTGCAAGGTCTAGGGGGAAGTACTCTTCCATGAGGGGGTCATATGGCCTGGGATTCTGCACTGAGAAATTTGCATTTATTCCTCCAGGCAATGGCATCCACAGAAGAAAAAGCCTATGAGATCATGAGGGAGCTTGATGTCAGCTACGTTCTGGTCATTTTCGGAGGCCTCACTGGGTATTCTTCTGACGGTAACGGACTGGATTCTGTGTCTAGCTACAGAGCGTAGATTCTAAGATGAACCTTCTATTTCCCTTGCCTTTTACTACTAACATCAAGATATTTTCTTCATTGGGGAAGTTTCTAAGTATTTGCAACTTGAAGCTCATTACTTTTTTTTTTTTTTTTAATTTAATTTAAAGAATTTTACTTTCTTTCTCCAGATAGGAAGGCTGCAAAGTTAGAAATTTTACAAAGACCTAATAAACCTTGATTCTTCAAAGAAACAGGTACAAGGTTTTCAACTCTGGATCGTCCTCAGGCTGAGCATGCAGCAGCCCTAGTGGGACTCTCTGGAGGTTACACGGTGGCTTTGGCTTGCTGAAGAAATGATGATTTGACCGTTACTCTGATCTAACTATGAAGCTGGACTTCTTTCTTTAAAAGAAGTAAAAAATCACCAGTCGCTGTTGTGTCAGTTCAGACTCATGGTGGCTCCATCTGTGTCAGAGTGGAACTGTGCTTCATACGTTTTTATTTTAGTAACAGCTGCGTTGATATAATTCACATACAGTTCACTCATTTAAAGGGTACAGTTCAGTGGTTTTTAGTACATTCATAAAGTTGTGCAACTATTGTTAGGTGCTGTGGAGTTGATTTTGACTCAGCAACCCAATGAGACAGAGGAAACTACCCCAGTTTTTTTTAAAAAATAATTTATTTTATTTTTGTTGTTGTTGAGAATATACACAGCAGAACATACACCAATTCAACCGTTTCTACATGTACAGTTCAGTGACCTTGATTACGTTCTTCATGTTGTGCAGCCATTTTCACCCTCCTTTTCTGAGTTATTCCTCCCCCATTGACATAAACTCACTGCCCTCTAAGGTTTCTACCTAATCTTTTGAGTTGCTGTTGTCAATTTGATCCCATATGGATAGATCTTAAAAGAGCTCCATGCTTAAGGCAGACATTCTTTATTAGTTAAGCTAAACTGTTGTTTGGTTTTCAGAAGGTTTCAGGGAATATTTTTTTACTTAAGGTTTAAAGATTATCGCAGGGCAATAGTTCTGGGGGTTCATCCAGCCTCTGTGGCTCCAGAAAAATCTGGATTCCATGAGAATTTGAAATTCTGTTCCTTTTTTCCCTTTTTGATCAAGATTCTTCTGTAGAATCTTTGATCAAACCATAGGGTTTTCTAGACTAATCTTTATGGGAGCAGATCGCCATGTCTTTATTCCACAGAGCTGCTGGGTGGGTTCAAACTGCCAACCTTTTGGCTAGCAGCCAAGTGCTTAACCATTGTCCCACCAAGTCTTCTCCGTAGGGTTTTTAATGGCTAATTTTTCAGAAATAGATCACCAGGCCTTTCTTCTGAGATGCCTCTGGATGGACTCAAACCTTCAGCCTTTTGGTCAACAGCGGAGTATATTAACTGTTTGCACACCCAGAGACTCCTTTAAAGAAGGTTGTTGTGTGCCGTTGAGTCAATTCTGACTCATATCGACCTGTAAGACAGAGTAGAACTGCCCCATAGGGTTTCCTAGGCCGTAATCTTTATGGGAGCAGATTGCCAGGTCTTTCCTCCTGCAGAGCAGCTGGTAGCTTCAAACCACTGATTTTCGGTTAGCAGCTGAGCACTGAACCATTGCACCACCAGGGCAGAACCATCAAAACAAGTGCAAAACACTGTTATTATCTAGATCCATGAAAGTCACAAAAGGTGACAGTATTGATTTTTTTCTCGTATTGGATGCGTTTCTCGAGATCAAATTGTGAGGCTTTGTTCTGTAGGAATTGTGAAGATTGAGAGGTGGTGTGCAGTGAAAAGAGCAAAAGGAGGGAACGCGAAGCTTAGAGGTGACGATCGATGTTATTTGGTCAGGATCACGTCCCGGCGGGTGCCTTCTGTGAATAGTTCAGACATGTTACATAATATCTATTTCATATACGCACACACGTGCACACACAAATACAGACAGACATACATGAATACACATAGACACACACGCAGGTGCCAGAAAACAGACTCGCTGGCTTTGCCTTGATTGCTCATCTTCCCTACCCCCAGCTTGTCTCCAGCCATTATTCTTGACTGTAGGTTACTTCTGACTATTTAAAAAATTTAAATCTACTGTAAAAGAATGAAGATTTGCCTTTCCTGAGTCTACTAAAATAAAAATATGACTTGGACTCTGAAGGCAATTCCAAATGAGGAGTTCCAAAATGTTTTGGGCATTTTATGCTAAATGAAACAAGCTCCAAAAATGACATTTTCTAAGGGGGTTAACAGGTATTTGGGTAGAAAAATTCAGTTGTATTTGTAAAGAATCTCATACTTTATCTAACTATGTTTCTGGAATGTTCTGAATTTAGCTTACTTGGAATATTAGGATAAGATTTTGCCCTTTTGCCAAGTCATGTTTATTTCATGTTACTTAATTTCTGTTAAATGCTTACTCGGACCTACAGTAAAACATTTAGATCTGATCATAGTCTAGGTAGTCTTATATGAGAATATGATACAGTATTGCCCTTCTTTAACTTTTTCTATTTTGTAGGCTTCAACTCTGAACCGAAGGCCCTCCTCCACATAACTTGTTACTTTCTACTCTCCCATACTTAAAGCTTGCCAAGTTGTTGCTTTAGACACATCTGCTAGGAAGCTGCAGTACACAGCTCTGTGATAGCTGAGTTCGTTCTCCAGGGTTTTGTTTTTGGTCTTGTTTCTGGCTGGGTGACTTGGCCAAGTGTCTCAGTTTTGAAGGTGAGAATGCAGACCCAACATGAGGATAGTAATATTGTTTATTGGATGCTATGTGACAGGCAGTAATATTAAATGCTTTACATGCTCTTACTCATATACTACCATAGCAGCCCTGTTGTTGTAGATATTCTTATTTTTCTAATTTGATAGATGAGCAAACTGAAGCACAGAGAGGTTGAGTAACTTGCTCAAGGTCACCCAGCTAGAATTGGCAGTGCTGGAATTCCAGCCTAGGCAGTTTTGATGCAGAGTCTGTGTTCTTACCCACTGTGATACCCCCTGGAACCATTTGCAATAGTGTAGTGGGAACCTTATTCTTCTGGGTCAGTAATACTTTTTATATTAGCCGTTCAGTGAAACATATAGCAACTGATTTGCCCACACCCTGTGGGTAGATGGAGGCAATGCTGAGAGTGACATACTCTAAGAGAAATATCCTGAGTTGGTGGTGGTGTCAGTATTTGTGGAACCTGTTGGTGTGTTTGACATAGAAATGTTAACTTCTCATATATATGCTTTGGCAGGTTGGTAACTTTGCAGCTGTCTATCTTTGTGGGTCTCTGTCTTTTTGGCAAAGCTACTCTCTGGATCAGTGCCGTCCAGTAGAAATATAATGGGAACCACATATTGTAATTTTAAGTTCTCTAGTAGCCATATTAAAATACATAAAAAAGAAACAGATGAAATTAATTTTAATGATTTTACTTAACTGAATATACCCAAAACATTATTATGTAACATGTAATCAATATTAACAAATTACTGATGTTTTACCTACTTTTTTTCTTGGACTAAGTCTTAGAAATCTAGAGTGTACTTTATGCTCACAGCACGTCTTAATTTGGACTATCCGCATTTCAAGTGCTCAGTGGCCACTATATTGGATGGTTTAGCCCCAACTAATACTTAGGACTAAGGAACCCTGGTGGTGTAACAGTTAAGCGCTGGGCTGCTAACCAAAAGGTTGGCGCCTCGAATCCACCCACTTGTTCCGAGAGAGAAAAGACCTGGTGATCTGCCGTAAAGATTACAGCCTAGAAAACCCTATGGGGTAGGTCTACTCTGTCACATTGGGACGCTTTGAGTCGAAAATCGACTCAATGGCACCTAACAACAATACTTAGAATTAATTTCAGTTGTGGCTTAAGCATGGACCAATAATAATAGGGTTTCAGGATTCTAATAATCTGTAGGAAAAGTTGTACATTTTGAGGAAAAGAATCGTGCCTACATGTTGTCAGGACTTTGAAACAGTATCCTTTCTTTCCTATTTTTTCAAATTAGAGGTAAAGTGTACCATTCTCCATTAGAAAAATATTCTGAGGAATTTCTGTAGAAACAGTGACCTTTTCATTGGTTGATTTAGCTCCAGCAACCTTTGTGATGCAGCAGTTTCTTTTTTTTTTTTCATTTTTTGTTGTTGAGAATATGCACAGTAGAACATTCCCCAATTCAGCAATTTCTACACGTACAATCAGTGAGTGGTTTCTTTGTATTCCTAGATATCAACAAGTTTCTGTGGATGGTCCGAATTGGAGGCAGCACAGACACGGGCAAACACATCAAGGAGCACGACTACTACACGCCGACTGGGGAGTTCCGTGTGGACCGCGAGGGCTCTCCAGTGCTGCTCAACTGCCTCATGTACAAGATGTGCTACTACCGCTTTGGACAGGTCTACACAGAAGCCAGTGAGTGGTGCCCAGGAACATCAGTAACGATGGTGATAGCCAACCCTCATAGCACGTGTTCCCCGTGCCAGGCCCTGCTCTGTGCTTTACATCTGTTAACTCACTTAATCCTCACAACAACCCAACGCAGATACTGTTATTATTCTCACTTTATACGTGAGGAAACTGAATTACAGATAGGTTAAGTAACTTCCTAAAGTCACATAGCTTGTGGCAGAGTCAGGATTTAAACTCAGGGATTGTGGCTTCAGATTCTGTGCTTTTAACCACTACTTTTCCTTTTTTTTTTTTTTTAATGTTATGCTGTAAGAGAAAGTTTACAATTCAAGTTAGTCTCTCATACAAAAATTTGTACATACATTTTTATGTGACCCTAGTTGCTCTCCCTGTACTGTGAGAGCACACTCCTCCTTTCCACCCCTGATTTCCTGTGTCCATTCAACCAGCTCCTAACCCTCTCTGCCTCCTTCTCATCTCACCTCTGGACAGGAGCTGCCCATTTAGTCTCATGTATCTACCTGAGCTAAGAAGCACACTCTTCATGAGTATCATTTTATGTCCCATAGTCCAGTCTAATCTTTGTCTGAAGAGTTGGCCTTGGGAATGGTTTTAGTTATGGGTTGACAGAGAGTCCGGGGGCCATGTCTTCCAGGTCCCTCCAGTCTCAGTCAAACCATTCAGTCTGGTCTTTTTACTAGAATTTGAGTTCTGCACCCCACTTTTCTCCTGCTCCATCATGGACTCTCTGTTGTGTTCCCTGTCAGGGCGATCATTGGTGGTAGCTGGGTACCATCTATTCTTCTGGTCTCAGGCTGATGAAGTCTCTGTTAACCACTGCTTTTTATTGCCTCTCAGTAAAGGTTACTGTAAAGGGGGATAGAATGAGACAAAGGACTTTTCACTTCTTCAGATGACTACATTGAGAGTAATTTGATCAGGTCAGGTCTTTCCTTTTGACTTCAATTTCTTGGTTCTATACTAGGGAGAATTTCTGAAGTGGTTGCAGGCCTTTGACCTCTCATCATTCTTCTCTGATCCATGGAAGGGTTACTAGTAGGTCATAGAGGCCTCTGGATGGCGCCCTTCAGGAATAGAGGGGCCTGGGTGTCAGCCACCGTCTCTTAGAAGCTCCATGGACTCTGCCAGGCATCATCTTGGAGAGGACTTGAGTTAGCTAACACGTGATTGGCCCTTCGACAGCCTCTTCTGCATGCCCTGCTCTCCCAACCAAGCTAGTGACCGAGGAATGCAGTCCAATTAGTAGTTGATGTGCTGAACTGATTTATCATCTCCTTAGTAAGTCAGCGCTGTATACAGACACTTGATTCTCCTTAGTAAATCAGCACTGTATACAGACGTGTGGTTCCCCTTAGTAAACCAGCACCGTATACAGACGTGTGGTTCCCCTTAGTAAACCAGCACTGTGTAGAGACTTGTGGTTCCCTTAGTAAACCAGCACTGTGTAGAGACTTGTGGTTCCCTTAGTAAACCAGCACTGTGTAAAGACACATCTTTCCCTTTTTGGCCCCCTGTAGAGCGTCCACCAGGCTTTGACCGTGTCCGAAATGCTGAGATTGGGAATAAAGACTTTGAGCTTGACGTCCTGGAAGAAGCATACACCACAGAACATTGGCTGGTCAGAATATACAAGGTGAGCAGACGCTACACGACCTCACAGAGCAGTTCTTGTGTTTGTAGAGTGATTCTGATGCTTGGAGGATGGCTCACATAGTTCTCAAATAGGGACGTTTCTCATGACACCTATGCCTGCAGAGCAGTTTGCAGCTTACTCGAAATCCTGCTATTTCGGATTGTTGTTCAGAGTACGTGTCCCGTTCTGCTGTCATTCTGGTACTTGTGGCAGTGATGTGTTTGCAGTGGGGGCTTGACTCAGATCTAGTGATTAACAGGCCTCGGGGGAAAAGAAAGAGTGTGCGTTTGTGTTTTCAAACTACGTTTTCTTCTCTCCCACTGGAGAATTTATGTTATAGAGAGTTTATATAGCAGTGTGTGATGTCTCTTGCAGAACAAAAGATTGAGAATCCTTGGTCTGTTTGGAGGGTAGATTGTTTATACTGCTCCTCACAGAGGTATTCCCAAAGGCTAAGCAGAGAGTAACTAGTCTCTAGCCAGTGCTGTTTCAGTCACAAAGCCAAACCAGGCAGCAGTATCCGACGTAATCCCATCCCCTCTGGCGGAACCTAATTTAGTAGAGAAGCTCTCCAAAGTTGAGCTGACTGTAGATACTAACCCGACATCTTTATATTGCAGGTAAAGGACCTGGATAATCGAGGCTTGTCAAGGACATAAATGTCTCGTCACGTCCAGCTGTGATATGCTTCGCATTGAGTGCGTCGTGTTTAGGACGCTGAAGATGTTTTTTCATATGCAGTTTATAAGAACAGAGCGCAATGTGATTAAAGTTGTCTGGAAGTTTTGCCCTGGGCAGTAAGGGCTGGGCCACATGAAATGATTTTTATAATTCTGAGCAGGTTACCAAATGAGATGCCATGGCTTTACTTTGGTCAATTAAAGGGGGGATTTTGTAAAAATGTGCCTTATTTGTTTTGACTTATGGTGACTGACTTGAGGAAGGTGAAAGTTTATGCTGGGCTGATGGAAGGAGAGGGAGAGACCTCATCCATGCTCTTAGCTCTCTCAACGAGCCAAGGAGACATTCTTTCTGTCAGATCAGCAGAGTTATCAAGGATTAGCCCAAATCCTACATACCCAAACAGTTTTGTCAGCCTTCCTGCATTGCAACGTGTAGCACAATGCCTAGCACTTAGTGGGCGCTCAGTAAAATTTTGTGGAATGAATAAATGTTTGTGGGACCATGCAGTTCCATTTCTTGGCAGGAAAGGCAGCCGTGTTGCCCTCGTGTCTCTGTTCTCAATGTCTCTTGTTCTTAGAGGCTCTTGACTTAAGAGAAACAGAGGTGGCTAGCCAGACCTGATCTCACAAATACCTTTCGGGACTAGCCAGGTTTGTTTTTTGAGCAAGAATAAATCAAGCACGACTAAGTTTAGATGACTCCAGGCAAACAATGAAATTATTCTCCAGGCAAACAATGAAATTATTCTCAGTGGAGAGGAAGAAACTCCTCCAACATTATATATAGAGCTTGATAGTCAGATGTTTTTGAATCAGTTTAATCATACATATCTAATTGAAATTGCAGCTTTTCAGTGCCGTCACTTACCCATGACCCTGTAGATGGCTCTTTGCTCGTTTCCTGTAGACTGCGCTATAACTCTCGCAGTCCTTCAGAGGGGAGCTTCCTTATTCCTTAGCCTGTTTGTTACCGTATGCCACTAGCAAGCTCAATTATCTGGTTGTGAAGCCCTTGCCAAATAAGCTACAAATTAGAAGGGGGATGAATTGCAACTGTGCCAGCCTGACGACAAGAAAGGAGAAGAGAAACTATACATAAAGTACAGTGATCCTGTGTATATTTAATGTCAGGACAAACAGCCTCATGCTCACCAGTGCAGGAGGATGTATGTATTCTACAACATAAGACATGTCACTGATGTATGCAAATCCTAAGGCATGAAAAATACATAAGGTAACTGCTCAGTGTTTCCTGTTTAAGAAAACAGGAGGAATTGCATACTTTCAAAGAGTATGCTTGGGAATACTGGTATACCCGGAAAACTTGGCCTTCCAAACCAATTTATATACCAAGTGCTGTGGCTGAGATTTAGATTTGATATAAGATTTGATTTACTATACATAACTATGGAAACCCTGGTGGCGTAGTGGTTAAGAGTACGGCTGCTAACCAAAGGGTTGGTAGTTCGAATCTACCAGGCACTCCTTGGAAACCCTATGGGGCAGTTCTTTTACTTTACACAGAATTCCTTCCTAGTAGAAGAGGTTACCCTGGGTTTTATCTACCACTATGCGTTATACTAGTTAGAGGTCATTAGTGATCTGTTCTCTGTAGTATAAATGGAATAACCCTTGTTACAATAGCTGTTGCTATTATGTTTCAGTTTTATCACTTTCTAGGTACAAGAAGCTATCTTTAAAATTTTTACTTTTCATTGAAGCTAGTGTTAAAAAAAAATCAAATAATTCTAAAAAGCAACACTATGCTTTCCACTCCCCAGTGGAAACCACTTTCAACTCTTTGCCAATTCTTATTTATTTTGCTTTACATGCTTTATTTTGCTACTTCTTGGTTTTTCAAGCTTAGGCATTATCTGTGGACTTTCTGGTATGGAATTGAGGGTTTCGTTCATTTTCACATACATAGTCTTACCATCTTCCCAAAGTTCTGTTGTAGCTATATCATAATTTCGGTTAGATCAGTATTTCATTTTTACCTTGTGACTATTTGTAACTAGGCCATGTTGTATACTACTTTTCCTGCATAACTTTTTTTTTCTTTAGTTAATAACTGCTTTTTTTTTTTTTTTTTTTTTGCTTTTTGTGCTTGTCACACATTCATCCCCAAACCCTTAATTTGTGCCAGCCTCCTTTTACTACATTCGGACACATTACCTAATTCATTTCTAAAGTTGCCTTCTCTTTTGGTACGTTCCAGTTTGGGCTGGTTTACTCTCTACGTTGCTGCAGCCCTCTTGTCTTGGTGTATCCCTTCACTATTATATTGGGCTATGTTTTTGTTTCTGTTTTTTTGTTGGACTGCTTGTGTGTGTGTGTGTGTGTGTGTGTGATAAATTTTAGAGATCTTGCATGTCTCTTCCTCATATTTGAGTAATAGTTTGACTGGGTATAGACTTACAGGTTGGGAATAATTTTTCCTTAGAATTATTTTGAAGGCATCAGCTTATTGTTTTCTATCTTCCAAATGTTATTAAGGAATACAGTGCTATTCTGGTTCTTAATTTTTTGTATGTGTTCATCCCCTCCCACCCCAGACGTCCTAGGATCTTCTTTTTGTAATGTTCTAAATTTTCCCAATAACTTATTTTGGAGAGGGCCATCCATTGTGCTGGTTACTTTGGACTTTTCAATATGGAAAGTCAAATTTTCCAGTTCTGGGAATTTTCCGTGAGTTGTTTGTGGATTCCTCCAATCCCCGTTCTCTTTCTGAAAACAACAGTTGTTTGGATGTTAGGCTTCCTGGTTAATTTCCTGATAGTCCATTTACTCTCCTGTTTACTGTCTTCTCTTTGTCCTTGTGGGAGATTTCCTCCCGTTTATTTTCTAACTTATCTACTTAAGAGTTTTCCTTTTTTCTGCTATCATATTTTTAATGTCTAAGACATTTTTTGATGGAATATTCCTTTGTTTTGACATCTTTCATATTAAAAGCTTTCTCAAATTCTTGGCTGTCTGCTCTTTTTTAAGAGTGGGACCCTGAAAAACCGATTGGAAGATCTTTTGAAGAGTGGGGGTATGGGGAAGCTTATTGAATGTGGGCTTCACTCTGACTGGGCCATTACAATGGGGAACACATTCTTTAATCCTTTTCTGTTACATACAGAAGATTCCCCTGAAAAGCTGGTGTATCCTCTAAGTCAAGGATATAAGCCAGGCTACCCATTTTCTGGGAAGAGAGTGAGGAAGGCAGCCCGAAGAGTCTCATCTTTCAGTGTATAAACTTAAATTTCATAAACCTGTTTTCAGTAAGGTACCCAAGCCTTTAATGGTGTCTGATGCACCTCAATTTAGATGCCATCTCTTTAGTCTCTCAAGTCCTACCAGCTTTTGAGTGGGGCGGTTCCTTGGAGGAGGGAGAGCATCCGGGGGTCTATTTGTTTCTTATACAGTCTTTCAGCATTCCCTCTTTTCAGCCCCACTTTCACCTCCACATAGTTTCCTGGTGTCAACAATCCCTGAGCCTTTTGGGAGTTGTGGGATGTCAGTCAAGTCGCTTGCTTTCCCATTGCTGGCTCTGGGACTCAGCTCTCTGTCAGCTAAATTACTTTTCATCTAAAGGCTTTTCATTTTCCAAAATTTTCTCAAAGTTTCTTATTGCTGGTCATTGCCTTTTAAAAATGTACCCTTTACTATTATTTCAGTTAAGGTTTTGCAAGGGAGCAAAGGCTCTGGGTACATTCATTCTCCCATATGCTATCTTTAACTGGTGTTCTGCCTGACATCTGTTTACTTTAGTTTTTCAGGCAAAAAAATAGAATCTTAATTCCATTCATAGACGGAGCTGTGTGTAGGTCCTCCTCTTTCTTCCTATTGTTTGCAGCACAGTGAGGAAACTAGAGAAAAGGGGGTCAACGACCCGGAAAACTTGCTTTATTACATGAAGTCCTAACTGTGATGGCATGGTTAAAACTTGACGCATACGTGTTTTGAAGCGGTCTGTTCTTGATTTTTATCCCTGACGTTGCTTCTTTAAAACAGGTATGCGCATTTTTGGTGTAGCATATTTTACTCTATGCCTTGTATCGTAATCAGTAGCTAGTTCTGCTAAGTGTACGTGGCCCAGTTTTGGGGGCTGGAGAATATAATGGAAGTGATCCTGCCTGTGCCTTCAGTTTCCACACTAGTGTGCCGTCAAGGGGGAATACCCATTTCAGCTTTTCCAGACTGTTGGTTTTGGTTCTCAAGCAAGTCCCTTTGTCCCGAATTGACACTTCAACTGGTTACTCTACTTTTTTTCATTCGCGCTGTAAAATGAGGGCTTTTTGGCTTCTACCTGCCTGTTTCTTACACATGAAGGATGAGAAACGGGGTACAACTAAGCTATGCAGATGCTCTTCCTTCAAAAAGGCTGGGCTGAACTTAGGTCTTGTTTGGAACCTGTTCACAGACAAGGCAAAACTGTTTATCGTGACACTGCCTCAAACTACGTTTTCGACAGATGCTTCCTGTTCCCACAATGCTCGTGTCACTGCCCCCATCAGCCCTTCTCAACAGCTCTCCCTAGCTGCCCAGCTCCAGCGCTGTCTGAGCCGCAGGGTGTAAGATTCACAAAGCGCTCAGGGGTCGTGACCGAGCAGGCTCCCCACGGTCCCGTCCGGCAGCTGGCCAGGGTATCGGGGTCGCCGGCTGGTCGTTGACAGGCGTCTGTCCGGCCTCTCCGGCCCAGAACCCCCTCCCGGAGGCCCCGGCCGCGGCCCCGGCTCCGCCTAGGAGCGCCCGGGGCGGCCTGCGCACGTTCACACCGCAGGTGCGCATTTCCCATCAGCGCCCGGAGATCGGGTCACACGGATGCCGTCAGCAGCTCTGAAACCTCTCCACCAGGGCCTCTCCCGACTCCAAAGTCAGCCAGGTCCGACCGGCTCCAGCCGAGAGGGCAGTGACGCCGCTTGCGCTCCCCTGAGCCGCCAACCTGAGAGCAGCGCGACAGGGAGCGCGCGGCCTTCCTTTACGGCACGCGGCGCGCGCCTTTGCGACAGTGTGACGCCAGCAGGTTTTGGCGGGAAAAGTGCTGCATTTGGATTCCTGTGGTGGCGGGGACAGGACAGCCTGGTGAGGAGGGGCGGCCGGTAGGGTGGGAAAGGAGTCTGGAGGCGGTGTTCGGGGTCTCCACTCGTGAGGCGGGGTACGGTGAGGGGCGACGGGGATAGGAGAGACTCCCGCGCGCGAAGGGGTTGCATCCGGGCGGCGGAGTGTGGTACCGGGGGGTCCCGGTTGAGAGGAGGCCGGGGGAGAGCCCCATTCTGCTGGTTGGGAACGCCAGCGGTTTGGGGGCCGCGCGCCTGTGTCCCAGCCCTTCCTTCCGCTTCTTGGGGTGGTTTGGCCCCGCCCCGGGCTCCTCCCGACCCTTCGGACAGGGTGGGGGTGGGAATGGAAACTGAGCAAGGGGGGGTTCTTTTTCCCGCCGCTGGCTCGCACCCTGGGCTCTGTTCCCCTCACTCCATCACCCCCTTACTCATTCGCCACAAAGCATTTGCCCTCTCCCTGACCCCATCCCTCCGCCTCTCAACACAGCCATTAGGTTTCCTCTGGGGCCTCAAAGTGGCGGAATTCTAACCTTCGGATTGCGTAAGGGTGGAACTGATTTACACAACCAATGCCTAAGTGTGGGAAACTTGCTTGTGATTTAAAGACTTGCATACAACCTGCATGAGATGTAAGGAGAAACCAAGAGCTGGTATTATGTTGGGGAATCAGGCAGAACTCAGTGGCTTCGCAGGTGGTGGAAGCGTGCACTCACCCCTGGTCTTTTCTGGGATCCTGCCTTTTACAGCCCAGCTACTTAGTGGAGTCATGGCAGTGCCCTTTGTGGAAGACTGGGACTTGGTGCAAACCCTGGGAGAAGGTGCCTATGGAGAGTGAGTTCGAGTCCTTTTACCACCTGTGCACTTGCTTAAGCTTTCTGTCTGTCGTCTGAGTACATATTCCTTGTCTTGGAGTTCTTTATCCTAATACAGTGGCGCTTTAGAGAACAGATAGGTGCATTTGAAATCCAAAACTTTTGGCAACTGAAGCTGCAAAATCTTTTGTAAGGATTAATACTTTTTTCTTTATGTCTTTACGCTTTCTTTGTAAAGAACTGGAAGAGACCTGTGAGATCATTGTTTCGTTTCCCGTGAATTCCTTCCTTTTGTTTAAGCATAGTGGTTAAATGAGCAAATGAACAGACTTTGGAGACAGATTACCTGGTTTCAAATCCTCGATGTAGCACATGCTTTATAATTATTTTTTTAGTAGACTTTTTTTAGAGTAGTTTTAGGTTTACAGAAACATTGTGCAGAAAGTGCACGGAGTTGCCATTTACCCTCTCCCCCCCTGCACACTGTTTCTCCGATTAACATGCGTTCCTGTGCTACATTGTTACAACTGAGGAGCCAGTATTGATACTTTATTATTAACTAAAGTCCCTAGCTCACATTGGGTTCACTCTGTGTTGTACAGTCCTGTGGGTTTTGACAGTGTCACGTGTCCACCATTACAGTATTATACAGAATGGTTTCACTGCCCTAACACTGCCATGTGCTCCACCTGTTCATGCCCCCCACCACACCATGGAACTTTTCATTGTCTCTTATAGTTTTGCCTTTTCCAGAATGTAATATATTTGGAATCATACAGTATGTAGCTTTTTCAGATTGACTTCTTTTACTTAGCAGTATGTATTTAAGGTTCTTATTTTGTGATCTTAAGCAGGTTTCTTAATGTGTTTTTGTGCCTCTATTTTCCTCATCTGTAAGGTGGCAGTAATAATACCTACCCCATAGGTGCTTAGAACAGTCGTCACAGGCATGTACTGTGGGATTAATAAATGTTATATAATTTTAGTGACAACTAAAATTAAGTGAATAGAACGTGTATATAGGTGATGTGGGCTAGACTTGCTATTATCCAGATTTAGTTTATTGAATCAAGCATTTATTAAATGACTTGTGTAGACAGCATAGTGACTTCTTCGGAGCGTTAGCTGTCATACTTCCCATTTCAGAAAGGAGTAGTATCTGCTGAGAACGTGGCAGAAATCATTTCCCTGCTTTCTTTTTGGTGGAGAAAGTAATAAAGGTGAAATGGTTTTGGATTGAGTCATGTTTAAATTTTGAAGTTCTAAAAGAAACAGAATTCAAATGTCTGGAGTATTATAACTCTTCTTTTTCCTTTTTAGAGTTCAACTTGCTGTGAATAGAAGAACTGAAGAAGCAGTTGCAGTGAAGATTGTGGACATGAAGCGTGCCATAGACTGTCCAGAAAATATTAAGAAAGAGATCTGTATCAATAAAATGTTAAACCATGAGAATGTAGTGAAATTCTATGGCCATAGGAGAGAAGGCAATATCCAGTATCTCTTTCTGGAGTACTGTAGTGGGGGAGAACTTTTCGATAGAATAGGTATGGAAGAAAAAAGTGTTCCAAGTCAGTATTCTAAAGATTTAAGATAATTATTCTATTCAACAAGTTTCTAAATTTGTGTTTTCGTCTTGGGTCTGATATTGGGTCATTGACTGTTCAGAATTGCTTATGCAATAGTGAAATTGGAGTAAATTTTCTTTTTGCAACTTGAATCAACACATAAAAACATATATAGAGTCACTCAAAGAAAACTTTTTTTCCCAAGTTATATGTGTGGTTTGGATTGGGATTGCTGTTTTATTGAGTTAAAAAATGATAAACTGTAGTTTCATGATGAAATATCATAATTGCAATGCAATGTTTGCCTGCATAATTTTTTCTTTGCAAACATTCTAGCTACATGAAATCATTGCATACATTTACAGATCCAAAAGAATAGCATGTTGTTATATTTCTTTGTTTGCTTAAGTGAAATAATTGAGAATTTTATAGGATATTTAAAATATAAATTGTTTAGTACTTCAGTGTTCTGTTTTGATTCAGAGGATTGATGCTACAGAGCACTGAGAAGTATATAATACGTGTTTTCTAGAATCTAAATTTGTTATTTAAAGCTATTGTGTTAACAGTTAAAAACCAGTCACTGGAAGCTACAATATATATCTCAGAAAAGAGTTGAGGATAAAAGAAATCAAGGGTTAATGAGGGAGATCCAAATATTAAAAAGGTAACTGACAACAGAATATTTCTTGGTAAAACGTTATTTCCTCAAGGAATTTCACAGGCATTCATGGCTTTGTAGTGTAAGAGATTGTATGAAGTTCAAATCTGTTATTCAATTTTTAGTGAAATTGGCTTCGATTTGCCCAGGCTTGCCCTTTGACAATTATGTTTTGGGAGTGAGAAAAATGCTGGTATATCATTTAGAAGAAATTAGGGGAGAAGTTGACGGATACCAAGTAAATCAGGGCTATTGTAAGAATAAGCTGTGGCTTACATTCTTAATTTGTTACTTTTTTGCAATTTCCCTATGATATGTTAGTTCATTTTCACCATTTTGCAGATGGGAAAAATGTGAGTTATTAAGTACCATCTGTGTAAGTGGATTTCTGAGTCTTTTAATTGCTGACATAAGCTTCTGTTTGCTAAAGTATGATGGCAAACATATATGCTTAAAATTAAGAGTTGACTCTGTGGTTCGTGATTATATTTATCCAGGAAACTAAGTTTCATAATTAATTCTTACAGAGCCAGACATAGGCATGCCTGAACAAGACGCTCAGAGGTTCTTCCATCAGCTAATGGCAGGGGTGGTAGGTACAGTTGATGCTTTCCCTTTCACTTAAAATTAGTACAAACGAAGTATGTTACCAAATTCCGGTGTGTTTCCCCCTTTGCTTCCCCTTAGGTTTATCTGCATGGTATTGGAATAACCCACAGGGATATTAAGCCAGAAAATCTCCTATTGGATGAAAGGGGTAAGTTAGACATTTTTTTCACTGCTACTTAAATTATATTAATACAGCCATACAAAGCAGAATTGAGGCTTTTTCATTAGTATAATTTCAGGGGAAAAAATCTGAAAAGGCAAGGAAATTTGGGAGATTCAGTGTATTTGAATTTGACAGGGTCTTCATGACATAGTTGTGGACAAGATAGAGAACTCTGACCTAGATGCAAGTGTAGCTCAGGTGAATAACTATAAGACGAATCTTAAACAATTCATTAGTGGGGAAGTTTCCATTGGAATACCGTGGACCTCAGCCTTGTCCTAAGCACTCATTTTTATGTATGACTTGGATGAAGATGCAAGGAGATTAGTTATAGTTTATGGATGTCATAAAACTGAGAGGGATGGGTAGTAAAGTGGTAGCTTATAGAATCAGGATCAAAAAGATGACAGAATATCAGCTGCATGAGGTAGAGGTTCTTGTCTGTTTCGTTTAATGACGTTTTCTCAGCCCTAGAAATGGCAAATAGAAAGCTTTCAGTAAATGTTTGTTGAATGAATGAATCATAGCAGATTAGGGAAGTAGGTTAAATCCAACAAGTTGTTTTCTAATAGGGAAAAATATTAAGTCCAGTATTTGGATTAAACGAATCAAACAGTTACAGTTGAATGGTATGTCCTTGGCGGCAAAACAGGTGAGAAAGACTTTTAGTAGGCAGCAAACTTAATGTTAGTCACCAGTGTGAATTGGTCATTAAAAAACTAAAGTGATACTATCCAGAATGAGGGAGATAGCAATCCAGCACTCCTCTGGTGAGGCCACACTGTAGAAGGCAGGTAGATCATTAAAGTACCTTTATAGCAGAGTGATCAGAACGATGGAGAGGCTACAGACTGTCTCAGGTAAGGAGCAGTTGAAGGAACTCAGGGGAACTTGATAATTTGCCAGTACTGTTCTTCAGAACATGTGGTGAAACTGTCTGGAAGCAACTTGGATCAGTACAGAGATGATCCTATTAATGGATCTGTCCAAAAATAGAATAGGTTGCTTTGGAATGTAGTGACTTTTATAACATTAGACTCAAAGACTGGGTTCATTATCAGGAATATTATAAAGGGAATTTAAACATTGTTTGGCTACTTGGACCAAAGTACTTTTAAGATCTTATCCAACTCTGAGGTAGTGTTTCTGGAAGTATTGTCATCTACATTGTCACCATACGTACTAATGGTGCATTTGTTTATCATTTTCCTTTTGACCTCTTCCTGAGTTATGTAATTAACCTTCACATAGGGGGTAAATTAAGGAAAGCCAGCTTATTTAATAGAGATGTAAATATCTGGGATATGAATAATTTTGTTCATGAAGTAAAAATATTGCTCTTTTTATCTTAATAAAATAAAAGATAATCATGCAGAAAGATTAAATGTATAAAGAAGAAAATAAAAAACTCCCCCCAAACCCACCATCCAGTTAACCACTGTTAATATTTTCGTGAATACCTTTACAGATATCCTTTTATTAAACCATCTCCTTACCTAATGGGTGGCACAATGGTTAAGTGCTCGGCTGCTAACCAAAAGAAAGGTCGCTGGTTCGAATCCACCAGCTGCTCCTTTGAAACCCTATGGGGCAGTTCTACTGTATACTGCAGGGTAGCTATGAGTTGAATCAACTTGATGGCAATGGGTTTGGTTTTTTCACTCACTTAACTACCTAAGATCCTCCTTTGGTTATTTAGCCTTAAGCAAGTTGTTCTATTTAAGACACATAGAAAAATTTTACATATTTAGGAAATTTGGTCTTTGGGAAAAAATTAACTGCAGACAGTCCATTGATGAATCCTGAGAAATGAGAGCACAAGCTGTGAGAATTCTTTGTGCTTCCAGCTTTCATGTGATTTCCGCTACTTTTTGAGTGTTTATAGCCTTGATGATATCACACTCAGTTCCTTTCCTTCCTCTTCTACAAATTAAGTCATTTTTCATTAAATGCAGGATTCAAGTTATTCAAAAACGGAAAAGATGGATTGCATGTCTCTGAATAGGGGAGGTAGTATAGTATAATGGTAAGACCTTGAACTTTGGAGTCATTTGAACCTAGATTTAATTTAGACCATCTGGTACTAGGTCTGTGGCCTTGGGTAGATTGCTTAACTTCTCAATCCCTCATGTCCCTCATTTATAAAATAGGGATAATGGAATCTACTTAGAGCTGTAAGGATGAGTATGTGCAAGTAACTACCATTCTGAATGTTGTTTTATTGTGACCTTACTTCTCTGTGGGATTGCTTCCATGTTTATATCCCTAAACGGTATAGCTGGTTTTGCATATTTGGAACTTCATATAAATGGAATATATGTTTATGTATGTTCTTACGGTATCTGCCTGGCACATAGTTGATACTGAAAAAATAGTAGCTGTTATCATATAAAATATAACGTCAGTTGGATCACAGTATGCATGTTGTGTGTGGCTTTTATTTTTTTATCCTCTTAAATTGTATTTATGCAGCATAAAAGTCTTTATTTAAAACTTAAAAAAAATTTAGGCACACAAAAATTTATATAAAATATATAATACATAATATAATAAACTTAAACAATAAAATATAATAAACACCTATGTGCCCATCTGGCTTAAAAATGAAAGCATTATATACCTATAAGAATGTTCACAGCAGTGCTATATATAATAGCAAAAAACTGGAAACAACCCAAATGTCTATCAACAATAGAACCTATAAGTTATGAAATAGACGATTTATATCTAAATAGAAGTAACAACATGGATGAATTTTAGGAATATAGTGATGTGAGCCAAAAAAGGAAGTTGCAGACGAATTCATGTAGTATGATTATATGATGTTCAGGTGAGTGGATGTTGATGCTGTTGTTACTCTATATCTTATACAGTATATAAATATTCTTTTGTTTTTACTCAGCATTTAATAATTAAAAATAAATAAAACATTACCAATATAATTGGAATTTTTCTGTGTATTCTTCCAAAAATGTATTCTCCTTTCTTTTTCTCAGAGGTAACCAAGCTCCTAAATTTGGAATTTATTATATGCAATTCTCTAACCTAACTATTACATTGCAGACATAATGTAACAACAAAATCTAAGAAACACTATGGTCATCATTAGTATTTTAAGTAATAATAACTACTTATAAATAACTTGAAACTCTTTTTTTGTTTTTTAAATAATTGTGTTTTTGGTGAAGGTTTACACAGCAGTTTAGTTTCCCATTCGGCAATTTATACACAAGTTGTCCAGTGACATTCGTTATATTCTTCAAGGCATGAACATTCTCATTATTTCTGCTCTGGTTGTTCTGTTTCCATTAATCTAGTTTCCCTGCCTCCTTACCTTGTTGTCTTTGTTTTAAAGTAATTGTTCACCTTTTGATCTCATACAGATGATTTTTTAAAGGAGCACAGTACTCGGGTGATATTCTTTATTTTGTGAACCAGTCTGTTATTTAGCTGAAAGATGACCTCAAGCTAGTTTCAGTTCAAGGTTTAAAGAGTATCTCAGGGCAGTAGTTTTGGGAAATCCTCCAGTCTCAGCCAGTAATAACTTGGAATTTATAATCTCAATAGTTTGTCAAGATTTTGTCATATATTAAAAGGATAGTCACAGTAGCCACTTCCAAGTCAAATATAGGTAAAGATCATTAGTGGCTTACATAATATATGGGTGTTGTTGATTTTTAAAGAATCAGCCCTCTATTTTTGGGCATCTAATTTGTCCCTAACCAAAAAAATAAATAAAAGCAAGGATGACTTTTATAAATATCTGCACAGGCCCAATTACAAAAATTCAGTCATAATTATAATAAATAATCATTATCCCACTGGCTGTTATCCTTCCAGTTATAACCTATTTCATGTCAATACATTTTTTTTTTTTAAAAACTACTACCTACATGGTTTTCATTATAAAGATGTACTATAAAATTTAACCATTTTTTATTGATGAACATTTATTTATAAATAAGATTGCTATGAATATCCTTATATTTGTGAATTGGTGGAAGTATTTCTGTAGATACGTTCCTAGAAGTGGAATTGCTAGTTCAGAGACTGTGAGAATTTCACATTTGGACATCTGTTACCAGATTACCCTCTAAAAAGATAGCGATTGACACCTCTGGTTATATAGGGCTTTTCCCGAATTCTAAGGCTAGGTTGGAGTCACTTGCTATAAGATCCTCTAACAGTATGTTTTCATCACCTTTGCAACACTTATTTATCATCAGTCTTTTTCCCCGATGTATCTACCTCGTTGACTAGCACAGTGCCTGTCAGTTATAGTGGATATTCAGTAAGTGTAAGTTAAGTTGAAAGTCCTGCCTGCAAGTTTGTGTTGAAAATGGGAGGTTAGTGCCGACGTTTGCTCTTCTGATTTGCTCTTTGTATGGGGTTCCTCCTCCTTTTTTTGACTTAGCCACTTTGACAAGAAGTTCTAGTGGTCTGTGGTTGTTTAGTTTGGGGTGGCTTTACATATTTTCTCTCTGCCAGCTGGTGTGCTGCTGAGTAGACCATTGATGTCTCCTCCTTGCCCTGTGCACACCTGGGCCGGGCTTAGCTCTCCTCTCAGCCCAAGTCTGAAGTTGCTCTTTTCCAGGAGGACAGCCGTTTTTGACTCCAGCATCTTTCTTTAACCTGGTCCCAACTGTTTCGTGTTCACTGGTTTCTCTCTAAGTTAATGGAAGAGAATGAAACCTTTTTCAGGTTTTAGCATATGCGGTAACATCTTTGCTGGTTTTCCTTTTGTTTATTTTGAGGTGGAAGAGTTCTGCAGATCTTAAGTAACATCAGTGATTTTTCCAATAAAACTCAAGTCCTTTCAGTGTATCTCTTTACAAAACATTTTTACTGGTGCCATACTTCTTTTCTTTGGTTTAGATAACCTCAAAATCTCTGACTTTGGCTTGGCAACGGTGTTTCGGCATAATAATCGTGAGCGTTTACTGAACAAGATGTGTGGGACTTTACCTTATGTTGCTCCAGAACTTCTGAAGAGAAAAGAATTTCACGCAGAACCTGTTGATGTTTGGTCTTGTGGAATAGTCCTTACTGCAATGTTGGCTGGAGGTGAGAGCTATTTAATCGTGATAAAACTCCTATCCTACGGAGAGTCAGATTTGTTGTATCAAAGTCAGTGAAATAAAATAAGAAAATCTGTATTTATATAATAGTTTTTAATAGTAACTGTTATTTATAACTAATTTAAAACTTTTAACCCCAAACATTTTTTACAACGAGGTATGTATAGCTATTATGGAGCGCTGGTCACACAGTGTTTAAGAGCTCTGCTGCTAAAAATTGGTTAGCAGTTTGAATCCACCAGCTGCTCCTTAGAAACTGTCTGGGGCAGTTCTACTCTGACCTCTAGGGTCGCTGTGAGTTGGAATGGACTCGGCGGCAATGGGTTTGGTTTTTATAGCTATTATATGAAAAGTTTCTGTAAGATTCACGTCAATACTTTTGGAAAAATTAGGGCAGAAGGCGTTTCATTCCTCTTGAGCGCCTCTTAAGTTTCTGTGAGTTGTCATTCTTACTGAAATCATATTAATTGGAGGAAATTTCCCCCTGGCTCAAAATCTTTACTGTATAATGATATGAACACTTAGAAAACTGGGACTTTTTTTTCTTTTATAGAATTGCCATGGGACCAGCCCAGTGACAGTTGTCAGGAATATTCTGATTGGAAAGAAAAAAAAACATACCTCAACCCTTGGAAAAAAATTGATTCCGCTCCTCTAGGTAACTGGGTTATCTTGATTGAAAGTACTGATTTCTTGGATAATGAAATCTAGTACTATCTGAATATTTTTCATATTTTGTTTTTCTTTTTAACTTTTAAAAAACTTCACATAAATAATCCATGTTCCTTGTAGATAAATTAGAAAATATAAATTAAATATAAGAAAAAACCACCCCTATAATCTCAGCACTCAGAAATAGCTTCTTTTAATATTTTGAGATGTGCTTCCAGACTTTGTCCAATCGTACATTCTAGACATATATACTTGTTATATACATATATATGTGTTTTTATAAAAAATGGGATCGTACTACATATGCCACTTTGTAACTTGTTTTTTGTCTTAATGCTTTGTGAACATTTTTCCATGACTACAACTGTAGGTCTCTGTAATTGTTTTTGAAGACTGTAATGGTGTTCTGCTATATAGATATGTCTTAGTACATACTCATCTAACTCACTTTCTTGGAGATTTAGAGTTTTTCTAATATTTCACTGTTATAAAGGAGATAACGATGAGCATCCATGTGACTTAATCTTTGCACATGTCCTTAAATTATTTACTTTAAGATAAAATCCCAGAAGTAGAATGCAAGGTCAGTGGTATATGTAATTTTTAATTATTTTGGTTTATTTTTGCCAAATTGTTTTTCAGAAAGTTTTTACCACTTCATCACATTCACATCACACATACACACACACACACCCACACACACATACACGCACACACATTTTTTTTGTGGCTAATCTAACAGACCTATTTAAAAAAAATGTACTTTTAAAAAAAATTGTGGTTAAAAACAGATAATAACAAAACATTTGCCAATCTAACAGTTTTTACATATACATTCAGTGACACTGATTATGTTCATCGTGTTGTGTGTCCATTATTACTTTTTATTATTATTATTTTTAAATGGAGAACCAGTACAGTTGTGTATCTTTTATGTATTTTTGTGAATTGTCTATTTTGCCCACTTTTGGCAAAGACTTTTATTGTTTTTCTTATTACTTTGTATTTAGTGTTTTTTTTTAAATACATTACATTTGTTACAAATATTTTCCATTTGTCATTTATTTTCATTTTGTATATACTTTTTAGACATGCAGAAATTGGAATATTTTTACTTATTCAAATCTATCAATCTTGTCCTTGTGGTTTCTGTCCCTCTTGTCATGTTTAGAAAGGCCTTTTCTACCCCTAGTGTTATGTTTTTTAAAAGCCCTGTGTTTTCATTTAGTATTTTTATGGCTTTATTTTTACATGTAAATCTTTGGTCCATTAGAAAATAATTTTGGTGTTGGGAGATGTATGAATTCTTTATCAAGATAATTGCAATACCTTAGAGTGATGACTGATTATATTACTGTTCCTTAAAATGTTATTATACTCAACAACCAAAAGATAAACAACCTAAAGAAAAAATTAGCAAAAGATTTGAATAGTCATTTCTCCAAAAAAGAAATGGCCAATAAGCGCATGAAAAAATGATCAGCATAGTTAGTCATTAGAGAAGTGGAAATCAAAACCACAGTGAGATACCACTTCATAGCACTAGGATGGCTAGTTTTAAAAAACAAAAAGAAAGAGCGAGTGGAAAATAACAAGTATTGGAGAGGACGTGTAGATATTGGCACCCTCATCCGTTGCTGGTAGTAATGTAAGATGGTGCAGCCACTGTGGAAAACAGTTTGGTATTTTCTCAAAAAGTTAAATACAGAATTACCATGTAATCTAGCAGTTCCACTTCTGGGTATATCCCAAAAGACTCAAAAAGCAGGGACTCAAACAGGTACTCGCACACCAATAGTTATTAAAGCAGTATTCACAATAGCCAAAAGGTGGAAGCAACCCACGTGTCCACCAACAGATGATGGATAAAGAAAATGTACATACATACAATGGAATATTATTCAGTCATCAAGAGAAATGAAGTTCTGATACACGCTATGACATGGATGAGCCTTGAAAACGTGCTAAGTGAAATAAGCCAGACACAAAAGGACAAATACATGATTCTACTTCCATGAAGTATCTAGAATAGGCAAATTCATAGAGAGCAGATCAGAGGTTAACAGGCTGGTGGAAGGGGGAATGGGAAATTACTGCTTAATGGATACAGAGTTTCTGTTTGGCTGATATAAAAGTTTTGGAAATATATAGTGGTGAAGGTTGTAGACCTTTGGGAATGTAATTAATGCCACCTGATTGTTGTTGTTGCCACTGAGTTGACCTAATCGTTAGAAATGGTTAAAATGCAAAATTTGATGTTTTACACACATATATATGTATATATATATATATATATATAAAATATATAAAATTTGATATATATATTTTGCCACAATAAAACTAAAAATGCAAAATAGCTTTAAAATTGTTTGGAGACTTAGCATGACGTTGGAGCAGTGAAATTTGGTATTAAAAATGGATAAGAGACTTTTGTACTTTTTTGTGAATATTGTCTGGTGGGAGAAACATTTCCCCCTGGTTATCTATCATTCTTCTTATTTGCAAACAATTGAGAATCAGAACTGTGAGGAATATTCTAAGATATAGATAGCGTCAAAGAAGAACTGCATGAAATTAAAGCAAAAATATAGTTTTATTCTTTTCCTTCTCTAGAAATAGTATTTGGACATAAGGAGGCCGATAGAAAATGTGTCGCTTCCACAAACACATTGTTGTAGTTGTTAGCTGCTGCTGAGTCAGCTCTGACTCGTGGAACCTTGTGTATAACAGAAGGAAACATTGCCCAGTCCTGCTCCATCTTCGTGATGTTTGAGCCCATTGTTGTTAGTGTCGCACTCCATCTCACTGAGATTTTCCTTCCTTTTTGCTGACCTTCTACTTTACCAAACAATGATGTTCTTTCTCGGGATTGGTCTTTCCTGATGACATGCCCATCTAATTTGCATGACTCTTTTGTAAAAGTTGTCTTAATTTTTTTTTTCAGCTCTGCTGCATAAAATCCTAGTTGAGAATCCATCTGTAAGGATTACCATCCCAGACATCAAAAAAGACAGATGGTACAACAAACCACTCAAGAAAGGTAACCTCCTTAAAATACCAAGTATTAATGAGATTAAATGAGCACACCAACCCAGGGACATGGACTAGAAGGCAGGAGTGGACAGGAAATCTGGTAATAGGGAACCCAAGGTCGAGAAGGGGAGGGTGTTGACATGTCATGGGGTTGGTAACCAATGTCACAAAACAATACATGTACTAATTGTTTAATGAGAAGCTAGTTTGTTCTGTAAACCTTCATCTAAAGTACAATTTAAAAAAAAGTATATAAAATAGAGATAAAAAGATATGCATGTGCACATCTGTTTTATGAGTAGATGAGAATCAGTGCCAACAGTGTTTTCTTGGTATTTTAAGGAAATTTAAACAACAAGCATTGACTCAGGCTGAGTCTTCCATGCAAAATGCAGTCATTTTGAAAACCTAAGATATAAAAACAATTAGATATTTGTACTGTAAAGTGCATCACACCTTTAACAGTAAAACCAAAATCATAAAATGTCTTTGACAGGCTTCTCAGGCAGCCTTGGAAAAGACGTTTCCCTAATGATTCTGTTACTAAGTTAAAAAAAACAAACGAGCAAACAAAAATCAACAAGATTTTCTGCGAGTTGTTAACTAATAAGATGCCATTTATACGTTTGGAAGGTTTAGTATGTTGTGTCCATCGGTTCTGGGTACGTTTCTGACCACTAAAGACTAAATTAACAGTGAAAAATATGAAAAACAAGTGGTGTCAGCACCACCTCTCTATCCATAATGTTCATACCTCACAGATGATGGAAAACAGAGTAAGGTACATTTATTGTGTAGAGTATATCAAGGCTTCTTCCCCTTTGTGAATAATGGTCATTATTTGGAATGTTTAATTTTTGACACAGTCATCAAAAATTTGGATAAGAAAACATGACATTAGGTGCAGAACATTTCAAGGAAGAGAAATGAGTGATTATGAGGCCCCCAGTACATACGGTGGAGTGAACTGAAGGTGATCAACTAAACAGACTTTCAGCACTGATAGCACCTGTGACGGTGTGGTGACCAGCACCTATGAATGATTACCAAGGAAGACAATTTAAAGAAGTGCTTTGGTCTGGAACTTTTCTTGTGTCCAGTGTCATGCAGGCTTATTGAAAAAGAAGAGAGAAGCTCTACCTACAATCTGTGTGTGTGTGTGTAGTTATGACTTTGAATTACTATGAAAAAGACCCTTGTTAGAAGTTTCCAGATCTAATGCATCAGAGGCAGATCAAGACTGAGGAAATAATAGAAATTTGTGAGACAGAATAAACACTTCTGATATTATCTTGGAGTGGGTCCTTTGGCAGACAGTGGCATACTCATGAGCAAAGTTGAGGATAGTCAGCTTAATTATGGAGCTTCCATTCTGACATTTCTGCTGAGATGGTACAAGAGGGGAGGGAGGCATTTTATATGCATGATGAAAACATTCTGCCCAGGATCTGGAGTACAGAGTCGGCTCTCCATATCTGCTGGTTCCGTGTCCACAGATTCTCAGATAGAAAATATTTGGAAAAAAATTCCAAAAAGCAAAACTTGAATTTGCTGTACACCCAGCACTGCACTGAATTCACGTGAGTGAAGTAATACAGAGGCATTGCATCATTTCACAGACCCTAAGTCTCTCTCATACTTGTAGTTTGAGCATTGTTTGCTTCCTGTGTTGTCATTATTCCCTAAATGATACAGTATTGTATCATAACTATTTACATAGCATTTACATTGGATTAGGTATATACATTTAAAAAAAAAAAAGTATTTTTCTCCGTGAAAGCAAAGGTACTTGCAAAGTCAACATCACAGATGAACTAAACAAGATAGATGTGACCTCTTTCCTGGTGGATATTTTGATATCTAATAGGAAAACAAAAAATATAAAGAATAATTTTGTTAGTAAATAAGGGGGAAAGTCAGGGTACTATACCAAGTCTTAAGGGACAGGGAAAGCTTGCTTCCCTGAGGAACTGACATTAAACCTAAGATTTGAAGACTAAAGGGGAGCTAGGCAGACAAGGTGAGTGGCACATCTGATTCTGAGCAGAGGAAGCAGCATTTGCAAAGTCTTGGAGTTTAGAGAGCTTGGTGCATTTGTGGAACTGAAAGACGCCAGTATGGCATGGAGCACGTCTGTTTTGTTCACCATTGTATCACCAGTGGAAGGCATAGTGTATAGTGTATCTTAGGCATTTAGTAAATATTTGTTGAGTAAATGAGTGAATAGGGAAGGAGGAGAAAGATTTGACATGAGACTGGAGAGGTAGATAGTGGCCAACTTGTGGAGGAAGGCCTTGGAAGCCACATTAAGGATTTTGAGTTTTAATGTAAGGCCACTGGGGAGACCTTTGAGAGATTTTAAGCAAGAAGTGACATGATCATATATTTGGTTTTACAAGATCTTCCTTGCTACATTTTTTTCTGTTGTTTTTGATAGGAAGAGGTTAAGAGTGGTGTGGACTTTTATACTAAGTATATGAAGAGGAAAGGATGGTCAGGAATGCAAGTGTATTAGTAGATTTTGCAGTGGAAAATTGAGAGCGTTTCTATCTAATGGCTTTATTTTCTGTATGAAATGGTGGATGACATCAAGGACAGCATCCGTGAAGAAAGCAAGAGGTCATTAAAAAGACAGGAAAGAAAGAGAAGACCAAAATGAATGTCAAAAGAGACTCTGAAACTTACTCTTAGAATGTTGAGTAGCTAAAGCAAAAGGAAGAAATGATGAAGTAAAAGAGCTGAACAGAAGATTTCAAAGGGTGGTTCGAGAAGACAAAGTAAAGTATTATATTGACATGTGCAAAGACCTGGAGTTAGAAAATCAAAGGGGAACAATACACTCGGCATTTCTCAAGCTGAAAGAACTGAAGAAAAAGTTCAAGTCTCGAGTTGCAATATTGAAGGATTCTACAGGGAAAGTATTAAATGATGCAGGAAGCATCAAAGGAAGATGTAAGGTATGGATTCACTGTACCAAATAGAACTGGTCGATGTTCAACCATTTCAGGATGTAACATATGATCAAGAACCGATGGTACTGAATGAAGAAGTCTAATCTTCACTGAAGGCATTGGCCAAAAACAAGGATCCAAGAGTTGACTGAATACCAGTTGAGATGTTTCAACAAACAGATGCAGCGCTAGAAGTGCTCACTTGTCTATGCCAAGAAATTTGGAAGACAGCTGCCTGGCCAATCAACTGGAAGAGATCCGCATTTGTGCCCATTCCAAAGAAAGATGATCCAGCTGAATGTGGAAATTATCAAGCAATATCATCAATATCACATGCAAGTAAAATTTTGCTGAAGATCATTCAAAAGAGGTTACAGCAGCACATTGGCAGGGAACTGCCAGAAATTCAAGCCCAATTCAGAAGAGGATGTGAAATAAGAGATATCATTGCTGATGTCAGATGGATCCTGGCTGAAAGCAGAGAATACCAGAAAGATGTTTACCTGTGTTTTATTGACTATGCAAAGGCGTTCGACTGTGTGGATCATAACAAATTATGGATAACATTGCAAAGAATGGGAATTCTAGAGCACTTAATTGTGCTTATGAGGAACCTGTACATAGATCAAGAGGCAGTGGTTCGAACAGAACAAGGGGATACTATGTGGTTTAAAGTCAGGAAATGTGTGCATCAGTGTTATGTCCTTTCACCATACTTATTCAATCTGTATGCTGAGCAAATAATCAGAGAAGCTGGACTACATGAAAAAGAATGTGGCATCAAGATTGGAAGAAGACTCATTAACAACCTGCGATATGTAGATGACACAACCTTGCTTGCTGAAAGCAAAGAAAACTTGTAGCACTTAATGATGAAGATCAAAGACCACAGCCTTCAGTATGGATTACACCTCAACATAAAACAAAAATCCTCACAACTAAACCAATAAGCAGCATCATAATAAACAGAGAAAAGTTTGAAGTTGTCAAGGATTTCATTTTACTTGCATCCACAATCAACACCCATGGAAGCCGCAGTCAAGAAATCAAATGATGTGTTGCACTGGGCAGATCTGTTGCAAAAGACCTCTTTAAAGTGTTGAAAAGCAAAGATGTCACCTTGAAGACTAAGGTACGGCTGAACCAAGTCATGGTGTTTTCAGTTGCCTCATATGCACGTGAAAGCTGAACAATGAATATAGAAGAACGAAGAAAAATCGATGCCTTTGAATTATGGTGTTGGCGAAGAGTATTGTAAATACCGTGGACTACCAGAAGAACGAACAAATCTGTCTTGGAAGAAGTACGGCCATGATGCTCCGTAGAAGCAAGGATTTTGAAACTTTGTCTCATGTCCTTTGGACATATCATCAGGAGACTCCGGTTCCTGGAGAAGGACATTATGCTTGGTAAAGTAGAGGGTCAGCGAAAGAGAAGAAGACCCTCAGTGAGATGGATTGAGGCTGCAACAATGGGCTGAAGCATAACAATCATTGTGAGGATGACACAGGACCGGGCAGTGTTTTGTTCTTTTATACATAGGGTCGCTATGAGTCAGAACTGACTCGATGGCACCTAACAACAGCGCGAAATGAGGGATCGACTCGATGGCAGTGGGTTTGGTTTGGTTTGGTTTATCATATGCTAAGAGTAATGAGGTGCTGGTGGTCTTGGAAGTTTGAAAAGAATGTAGAAGTTTTGAAATAGTCATTATGGAGGAAGGGAGAGGAAACTGACTAGAGAAACATAGGATTGACTAGCAGTGTTGACGGTCCAGGTGAGAGTAGTAGTAACCATGAAAATATATGTATACGTGTGTGTGTGTATAAAAACCATAACCATGAATGTAACCCATTGTCGTCGAGTCCATTCTGACTCGTAGCAGCCCTATAGGAGAGTAGAACTGCCTCACAGGGTTTCCAAGGAGCTGCTGGTGGATTTGAACTGTTGACCTTTTGGTTAGCAGCCTGAGCTAACCACTATACCAGTAGAGCTCCAGCCATGTATATAGTGGCATCATTTTCTATATAATGATTATTCTTATTTCAGCTTTTCAAGGAGAGCAAAGAATGTTGGATGTAACAAATTCATAATTTTCGCTGCCATTATCATAAATTATTTCTGTTTAAAAAATTTCTGGTCCTTTAGTCTTTATAGAACATTGTTCTGTTCCCATGGCTCATGCCAGTAAAATTATGGCTTTGCCATGATTCTCTGCATTGAGAGCATACTTACATGTCTTATGCTTTGTGTTACATAAATGTATTTAGATGTGGTGTTACTTCTTCAAGTTGCTAGTTGGGTTAATTAAAAAGACACCTGAATAGAAGACTTGAAAGCATTTGTATTTATGTTTTCAGGGACAAGGAGGCCACAGGTCGCTTCAGGAGGGGTATCAGAACCTCCAGGTGGATTCTCTAAGCACATTCAATCCAATCTGGACTTCTCTCCATTGAACAGTGCTTCTAGGTAAGACCAATAAAGATAGAATAGTTGCTGAATGTAATATTCCCCATGAAAAATAATCTATGTATGTATTTTCTTCTTAACAAATGTAATTTTTATCAGTGTGAGGATGATACTGTGGTATAAGAAAGGTCTGATGGATTTTACTTAAAACGTATTTTCCCCCCATCTTAACGCCTCAGTGAAGAAAACGTGAAGTACTCCAGCTCCCAGCCAGAACCGCGGACAGGTCTTTCTTTATGGGACACCAACCCCTCATACATTGATAAACTGGTACAAGGGATCAGTTTTTCCCAGCCTACATGTCCTGACCATATGCTTCTGAATAGTCAGTTACTTGGCACTCCAGGATCCTCACAGGTAAAGGAATTTAATTTTTCAAATAAAGAATGGAAACCCTTTATTTTATATTGTTTTAAAGTCTTCAGAAAACTTTTAGAAATCTTAAAATTTAGTGTTAACAGTTTGTACTTTACACAGAATTTTTGGATAAGAAAGAATTAGAGTGGGTCTTCATATATAAGAATCTTAATAAATCACAGAAAACAATTTTCAGACTAAATACCTATGATGCGACTGCTTTCGGTCAGAGTGGCTTTCTTCAGTTCTCTTCTGTTTGACATGTAGAACCCCTGGCAGCGCTTGGTCAAAAGAATGACACGATTTTTCACCAAACTGGATGCAGACAAATCTTATCATTGCCTGAAAGAGACTTGTGAGAAGTTGGGCTATCAGTGGAAGAAGAGTTGTATGAATCAGGTATGTTTTATTCATTTTTATTATATCTTTTCCTGAAGACGAATTTAAATATTTGAGTAAAGACGATCATTATCAGAATATCTTAAACATACGAGGGTAACTCAAAAAGTATTGCTACTAGGGTTCTAGTTCAAACGTGGATGCGTTTATTCCAAACAAAATGTGTTTAAACATGTCTCTGCGATCAGTGGATGGCTGCAGACGAGTTCTCTCAGTAATACACTTGTCTTTATCTCGTTAGGGTGCCTTCAAAAAACGGGATAACTTTTTGTGCCATGGAAAAAAATGATTTTGAGGTCAGGGCCAATACCAAATTTTTAACAAAACCCAAGTGGACATCTTTCCAAATCATTGAAGCTTTGCAACAAGTTTATGTGAATGCTGCCTGTCTTAGTCATCTAGAGCTGCTGTAACAGCAATACCACAAATGGATGACTTTAACGCAGAGAAATTTATTTTCTCACAGTCCTAGGAGGCTAGAAGTCCAAATTCAGGGTGCCAGCTCCAGGGGAAGGCTTTCTCTCTCTGTTTGCTTTGGGGGAAGGTCCTTGTCATCAATCTTCCCCGGTTTAGGAGCTTCTCAGTGCAGGGACCCTGGGTTCAAAGGACACGCTCCCCTCCTGGTTCTTCATTCTTGGTGGTAGGAGGTCCCTCTCCTCTCTGTGCGATTCTCTCTTACGTCTCAAAAGGGATTGAATGAAGATACAACCTAATCCTGTAGATTGTATCCTGCCTCATTAACATAACTGCCTGTAATCCTGCCTCATTAACATCACAGAGGTAGGATTTACAGCACATAGCAGAATCACATCAGATCACAGAATGGTGGACAACCACACAGTACTAGGAACCATGGCCTAGCCAAGTTGACACACATTTTTAGGGGACACAATTTAATCCATAACACTACCCCACATGAAACAGCCCCACATGCAACCGCAGCTTTTAGATGGATCAAGCTTTTTAAGAAAGGCGAGGAAGATCTCAAAGAGGAGCCAGGAGAGGGAAGACCGCTCAGAAGTTTATGACAATTGTTTTTTTTGGATTCCAAAGGGGTACTCTTGATAGATTTTTTCAGAGAACACAGGACGGTCATGGGGGCTTATTATGAAGATGTTTTGACAAAATTGAAAACGGCATCGGTGAGAAAAAGGCCAGGAAAGTTGTGCTGAGGAATTTTTTCCCATTATCGCAATGCACCTGCCCATTCTTCAAGGGTAGCAAGGGCTGTCCTAGGAGAAGTTCATTGCAAACCTTTACCCCGTCCACACTACAGCCCTGATCTTGCCCCTTCAGACTTCTTTGTGTTCCCCAAACTCAAAGAACATTTAAAGGAACATGATTTGAGTCTCTTGAGGATGCTAAAACTGCCCTTTTGACGTGGTGTAAATTGACAGCAGAATTCTTCTGGGAAGGGTTAGAGAGATGGAAATGCCGCCTTCAGAAGTGTATAGACCTAGATGGAGGATAGGTCAAGAAACAGTAGCTTTATGTTTTGATATTTTTGTTTAATAAAGGTTTCTGTGATTTTGTGGCAATGCTTTTTAGTGTGTTTTAGGTGAACGTTTACAGCTTAAGTTAATTTCTTATTCAAAAATTTATGTATGTATTGTTTTGTGACATTGGTTGCAGTCCCCACAATGTGACAGCACACTCCCCCTTTCCACCCCAGGTTCCCTGTGTCCATTTCCTGTCCCTTCCTGCCTTTTTGTCCTGCTTTTGGACAGGAGTTGCCCATTTGGTTTCGTATATTTAATTGAACTAAGAAGCACATTCCTCACATGTGTTATTTTTTGCTTTGTATGCCTGCCTGATCTTTGTCTGAAAAGTGGGCTTTGGAAATGGTTTCAGTTCTGGGTTAGCAGAGTGGCCGGGGGCGATAGTTTTAGGGATTCCTCCAGTCTCAGACCAGTAAGTCTGGTCTTTTGTGAATATGAATTCTGTTCTGCATTTTTCTGTCATCTCTGTCCGGGACTGTCTGTTGTGATCCCTGTCAGAGCAGTTGGTGGTGGTAGCTGAGCACCATCTAGTTCTTCTCGTTTCAGGCTGGAGTCTCTGGTTCACGTGGTCCTGTAGTCCTTTGGGCTAATACTTTCCTTGAGTCTTTGGTTTTCTTCATTCTCCTTTGCTCCAGGTGGGATGGGACCAATAGCTGTATCTTAGATGGCTGCTAGGCAACTTTTAAGACTCCAGACGCTGCTCACCAGAGTGGGATGTGGAACATTTGCATTATGAACTACGTTATACCAGTTGACCTAGATGTCCCCTGAGACCATGGTCTCCAACCCTCAGACCCAGTAACTGGGTTCCTCAAGGTGTTTGGATATGTCTAGGAAGCTTCTATGACTTTGCCTTGGTCAAGTTGTCCTGACTTCACCTATATTGTGTGTTGTCTTTCCCTTCACCAAAGTTAACACTTGTCTACTATCTAGTTATCCCTCCCTACCCTTGTAACCATCAAAGAATGCTTTTTTCTGTGTGTAAACCTTTTCTTGAGTTTTTATAATAGTGGTCTCATACAGTATTTGTCCTTTTCTGACTGACTTATTTCACTCAGCATAATGCCTTCCAGATTCATCCATGTTGTGAGATGTTTCACGGATTGATCATTGTTCTTTATCTTGCATAATATTCCATTGTAAGTATGTATCATAATTTGCTTATCCATTCATCTGTTGATGGACGATTAGATTGTTGCCATTTTTTGCTATTGTGAATAATGCTGCAATGAACATGAGTATGCATATGTCTATTCATGTGATGGCTCTTATTTCTCTAGGTTGTATTCCTGGGAATGGGATTGCTGGATCGTATGGTATTTCTATTTCTGTTTTTTTGAGGAAGTGCCTTATCGTTTTCCGAAATGGAGGTACCATTTAACATTCCCACTAGCAGTGAATAAGAGTTCCAATCTCCCCTCAACCTCTCCAGCGTTTGTTATTTTGTATTTTTTGGATTACTGCCAGTATTGTCAGTGTGAGATGTTAGTGGCAATACTTTTTGACTTACCCTCGTATAAAATAATTAATTTGTAAAAGAAACTGTTGAAATTTAAGGAACTTAAGTAAAGTGTTCTTTACCACAAGAATATTTCTTTTTTTTTTTTTTTTTTTTTTGGTGAAAATACACATAGCCAAAGATACACCATTTCAAAAATTTCTACATACACAGTTCAGTGACATTGACTGCGCTCTTCCAATTGTGCTGTTATTCTCACTTAAGATGAAGGCTTACAGAACAAAATAGTTTCCCATTTAACAGTTACTACAAATGTTGCCCTATGACAATGGTTAACAATCTCACAACACATCAACAATATCCTTACTCAGTCTTACCACAAGAATATTTCTTAAAAGACCCTTCTAAGATTATTTTAAAAACTACATATACTTAAATTTTAGATGGTAACAATTGACTCCCTTCTATCAGAAATGAATAAGTTAGCCGTTCCACACTCCGCCCACCTCCCTGCTCCCAGATTCCAGTTTTCGTCGTTTGTGTTATTATAGCATGTTTATAACATTGCCATTCTAATCTGTCATTAGGTTTTTCAAAAACGTTGATGTCATGAAAGATAATAAGAGGGAGATATTTTCTATTATAGGAGACCAAAAGAGGTCTGATAAGTAAATGGAATGCATGATCTTTAACTAGAACATGGATTTTTTAAAAAAGCTCTAAAGGACGTTACTGGGGAAATTTGAATATGAACTATACATTAGGTAATGTTTTTGTGTAATCAGTGTCAAATACCTTGGGTGTGATGATGATATTGTGGTTCATCAGAGAATGTCGTGTTTGTAGTAGAAACGTGTTGAAGTCAAGTGTGATGATAACTTAGTTACAACTGTAACTTAGTTTAAACACTATGAAAAAATGGACAAGAAAAGACACATATTTGTATAGTTATGGCAAATATGGCAGATTGTTAACAATTAGAAATCTAGATGAAGGGTATATGGTTATTTATTTTACTGTTTTTCTGGAGATATGTTAGTTTTCACAATAAAAAGTTAGGGGAAGTTGTTAGTATGAAGAAGTCAGCCCTCCAGCCTAACTTTCCTCTCATTCCTATAGGTGATTCACTGTTGTTAAAAACTGAGATAAAATTCACATAACAAAGTTCACCACTAACCTTTAAAGGGAGGCAAAGCAAAGACACGAGGAGCCCTGGTGGCACAAGTGTTAAGTGTGTGACTGCTAACGGGAAGGGTGGCGGTTCAAGCCCACCCAGCGGCTCTGCGAGAGGAAGACCTGGCAATCTGCTTCCGTAAAGATTACAGCCTAGGAAACCCTGTGGAGCAGTTCTGCTGTCACATGGGGTCACTATGAGTCGGAATCGACTTGATGGTACCCAACAATGAAGTAAAGGCAGGCCTTTTGGGCTGGTCTTCCAGGGAGCCACCAGACAGATCATCTTAGGAGAATTTGTGACTGAGGTCCATTCTGCCCCTCCTAGACTTGTGTCTGGAATATGGGCTGTTAAGGCTGTCGTCGAGCTGGAGAGCAGGGGTGGGAATAGGGCAAGCTAAAACGCCGTAAAGCTCAGGCTTCTTTCTCCATTTCAGCTGTTTTCTTGAATAAGTGTTCCCCGAGTTTCTGTAAGCTTTCACTTATTTTCCAAGGTTTTGAAAAAGTTTATTCTGACAGTTTTTTCCTTGCTTTTATGGAGGGCCGGCTTTTGGAGTTTCTTATTCCACCGTTTTTGCTGACATCTCTCTTTGCTTCAGTTTCCTTTCTGCCTGAATCTTTGAAGAATTTTCTTTCTCTTTGAAGTTTTAGAGCTTAATTTAGATGTGTTGAATATCTTGTATTAAATTTACCCAGAAGACGGTGTGTTCTCCCACACTGGTGCCCCGTCGTGGGTGGTGGCTTTGTGGGGCTGAGGAGCTAAGATGGCCTCACTCACGTTTGGAGTCTCGGTGCTGGCTGTCGGCTGGGCCTTTGTCCACATTGTCACTCATCCAGCCTGAGCTTCTGTCCAGGCCACGGGAACATTCTAGAAGAGTGAGAGCGGGAGCCGCAAGGCCTCTCAAATCTTTGCTCCCTTCTTTCCAGTGCTGTAGCTTTCAGTCACAAATCCTAGTCTCTTTTTCCCTTTCTTGTCTTTATAGTCCTGTTTTCCCTCCTCAGTCGTTTCTTCTTTCAGTCGCATTTTGGTGAAAGACTGAAATTCTTTGGTTGCTGAGACTTCCCATAAACTCAGTGTCTGGTAGTGGAGCTGCACCCTGTTTACAGCCCGGTCTGTGCTGGACACCCACATCCATGGGGAGGAGACACCCCGGGGGGCGCGAGAGTCTCACCACCGCTCCTGTGACGACAGAGCCCCACAGGTTTTTATCCCCAAGTGTCATTGGCCTGAGATTATAGTTTCTGTTGGGGGTGTTCTCTGCCCGCACAGCTGACTTAATTTTCTTTTTGCCGTCTTAGGTTACTGTGTCAACAACTGACCGAAGAAATAATAAACTGATTTTCAAAGTGAACTTGGTGGAAATGGATGAGAAGATCTTGGTAGACTTCCGACTTTCTAGGGTATGTAGAACACCAACTGTTTTTTAAAAATCTATTTTTGCTACTGTTAAAAAACTATTGTTAAAAACGTGTAAACATTTAGAAATCAAATTTTTTTTTTAAAAGTATAAAGGAGAAAATTACAATCAAGCTTAATCTTGTCTCCTAGAAATAACACGTTTATTTTTGATATATTTTACAGTATTCTGTCTATGGAAGTACCTACATATGGAGATTTTTAAAAAATGGTATATTTGTAAACCTAAGGCGTTTATAAATATATGATTACTTGCTTTTTTCATTTAATATTGTGAACATTTGTCTTGTTATCATTCTTCAAAACGTGAAGGAAAATAAAATAAAAATAATCCTAAATTATACTGCCCAGTAGTAATCACCCATAACAATTTGAAGCATTCTGATCTTTTTCTTAATGTGTTAATATATAATACCTTTTTTATAAAAATTAGGATTTGTCAAAAGTGTTTGCATAGTATAACTTAATGAACATTTTATCTATTACAAATAATTCTATGATTTATTATCTTATCATAGATTTTTGTCTAAGTTTCTGATTATTTCCTTAGAAGTTACTCGTTCTGAAGTTACACAGTTTTAAAGCCCTTATATGTAAGACCAAAATAGCATTTTCTCTATTTCCCAAGAATTTGTCCATGGCTCCAAAGAAGTTTGGAGGGAGTAGGTCACACTTTTATATTGAATATTTGCTGCAATACTATTGTTCAAATGCTTGCTATGGAATTACATTATTAAGATCCCAGTGTAATGAAATCCTTCTTGTAACTGAATCTGCTGGCTTTGGTGCCACAGTGTTATGGCAAGACTTCAGTGTAGTTGTGTAGCTTATTTTTAGTTTACAAACCCTCACTGCCTATGGAAAACAGTGACTTAGGGCCACAGATACTTACACAGATGCCGTCCGTCTCTTTCTGCTCTCTGAGCTCAGAGTGGTAGGAACGGTGGCGAGCATGAGGCCTGGTCCGAATGATTTATGTAGCTGCTGCTTCTACCAGGACGCTTGTTCTTCACAAGAGAACATAATCTAAGGATGTTTGTCTTTACTTACCACTGAAGTGTGATTTTATAGCATAGTCTTTTTTTTTTTTTGACATTATTTTTGGATGTTACTCCTAATATAGGGTGATGGACTGGAGTTCAAGAGACACTTTCTGAAGATTAAAGGGAAGCTGAGTGATGTTGTGAGCAGCCAGAAGGTTTGGCTTCCTGCCACATGATAGATCCGTTGGCTCTGGGGTTCCTGGTGAATATAGTGCTGCTATGTTGACATTAGTCTTCCTAGAGAAGATTATCCTATTCTGCAGACTGCAGATCTAAAATAATAGTTCCTGAAGAGATCTCTTCCTTCTACTATCCAAATATCTTCCACTTCTTTTTGTATGTTCTGCATACAGATAATACCGATATCATAATTGTAAATAAAACTCTGGGGAAGGGATGGGTAGAACTCATTGGGTATTTCTTCATCAGTGTTTATTGGTTGAATTTGAGGCCCATCTGGTGGAAAGCAAGTTTTGGGAGTACATGAGTTTACAAGTTTTCAGACCACCTTACTGAAAGAAGATGATCATGTCCCGTTCATACCAAAACATTTAGTTTCATCCCAAAAGTATGTATTTCCTCCACATTGACTGTTAACTGTAGGGGTGAATTAGTAAAAACGCAGTCCTTCTGACTTTTGGAAATAGGTTTATTTGTACTTATATTTTAAAAAGTGCTTGTCTAGGTATATAAACCTGTTTTTGAACTGTAACTACTAATTAAAACTGCAAGTAGGTGTGTTTTTCCTGGTGAATTTAATAACACGTAGAATACTGTTTGGTCTTTCTAATATAAGTTGAGCATAAACTTTAGTGCTTAACTAACTTTAAAAATTATTGTTGCACATCTTAAATGATTTTTTATATTATTTTCTACTGTCACAGCTATATTTTAATTCTTCACTATAGAAATAAATTCTGTTTTGAAAACAAATATATAAGAACTCTGAACTCATTGATGACCAAGCTGGTCCCCCCCGGCCCTGCCCCTCTGTCCCCCCACCCCCCACGCCTCTGGCCAGCCCCCCGCGCTTCAGGCGGGGTTTCTGCCACTGCTCGCCAGCTTTATCTCCTTGCCGTCGCCTATCTGGCTCCCTTCGCCGCTGCAGCCGCCTCTGGGCCCCCTGCTCTCAGCCGGGGGGTTCTGTGCTGCCCTGCCTGCTAGTGGTCTGGGCTACTTCCTGTGCTGTCGCAGGCCTAAGTGTGCGACCTTGGCCCACTTCTCAACGTGCCGCCCCTTCCCGGAATGATCGCACTTTCCAGCCGGGAAGCTGCAGTGAGCCCCCTGTTACTACACTTTCATTGGCCTCGCCACTGGCCTCCTAAGGCTTAGTTAGCATCAGCCCCCGGGGATCCCTCTTAGTTGGCCTCAGTTGTGGTCCTACTCTCAGAGCCAGGACCAAAGGCCAAATCATTCACTGCAAAGAGGTTCCGCAGTCAGGAATGTCTCAAATGTGGGAGAAAGTTTTTCTTTAGAGCCGTCTGCCACCCATTGTCGTTGTGTGCCATGAAATTGATTCCTACTCATAGTGACCTTATAGGCCAGAATAGAACTGCCCTATAGGGTTCAAGGCTGTAAATCTCTTTATGGGAGCAGACTGCCCCATCTTTCTTCCACAGAGCATTGGTGGATTCCAGCCGCAGACCTTGCGGCTAGCAGCCACCAGCCACCGGGGCTCGTTTGAATATCTAGTAGGTATCTCATACTTTTCATGACTGAAAACAGCGTTGGTTTATGACCTTCAATCTGTTCCTCCTCTAGTTTCCCCAGTTCAGTAAATGATATTTCAGCTTCCCAGTTCCTAACACAAGAAATCATCCTTGTCACTTTTCCCCCCTTACATTAATACATTCATTTAAATAAATCCTATGGGCCGAACATTCAAAATGTATCCCACTTTTCACCTCTACTACACCACTAGGTGGAGGTTCTGTTGTCTCTTTTATATGACTGTGATAGTCTCTCAACTGGTATTTCCCACTTTGTCTTGTCCCTCAACAGTTTACTTGCTGAAGAATCAGCCAGAATGATCCTTCTAAAATGTGAATCAGGTGCCCCTTCCCTGCTGTCATCTCTCATAGGTTTTCATCACGCTTAAAATTTAAAAGTCTCTCCATGCAAAAGGGGAGAAAATGCAGAACAGAATTTCAAATTCTCGTAGAGTCTAGACTTTCCAGAGCCATGGAGGCTGGATGAACCCCGTAAAGCTATTTCCCTGAGATAATCTTTAAACCTTAAATCAAAAATACCCCCTGCAGTCTTCTTAAAACCAAACAGTAGTTTAGCTTAACTAGTAAAAAATGTCTGCCCTGAGCATTACGCCCTTTTAAGAACTACCTATATGGAATCAAAGTGGCAATAGCAACTTGAAAGATTAGACAGTAACCTTAGGGAGCAGTGAGTTTATGTTAATGGGGGAGGAACAACTCAGAAAAGGAGGGTGAGAATGGTTGCACAACTCAAAGAATGTATCAGTGTCACTGAAATTGTACATGTAGAAACTGTTGAATTGGTGTATGTTCTGCTGTGTATATTCTCAATAAGAAGAACAAAATAAATTAAAATTCTTTCTGTGGCCTAGAAGGTTTTATGTGATCTGCCCCCTGGCTACCTCTTTGACCCATCCGCCATTTTCCTACTTGTTGATTGTGCTCTGGGTCGTTGGCTTTGCTGTTCTGCATGTTCTCACCTCGGGGTCTTTCATTCGCATTTCCCTCCACCTGAAGAACTTTACTCCCAAGTATTTGTGTGGCTTGTGCTGTATTTTAGGTTTTTGCCTAAATGTCATGCCCTCAGCAAAATCTTTCTCCCACTTCTGTAGCACTCCACCTCTGCCACTCTTTTCTTTTTCATCATAACACGTATTACCTGACAGTATAGAATATGTTTATTTGCTTATTTGTTAGGAGTCTGTTTTCTTCGTTGGAGTATGTAATATATAAGTTCCTTGATATCTCCATCTTGTTTAGTTCTGTATCCCCCACACTTAGATCAGTGCCTGATGCTCCCTCTGCCTGGAGCCCCTTCCAGTAGTTTGCGTGGCTAACTTAGCCCAAATCTCAGCCCAAATGTTTCTACCAGCCCCAAACATATTACATTATTCTGTTTTCTTCATAGAACTGATCACTCTCTGAAATTATTTTGTCTGCTTCCTCCACCAGAATGTAAGCTTAGACTTTGTCATTCCTTTTCACCCTTGTATAGTCCACTTAAAGAACAGTACCTGGGAAATAACCAAAAACCCATTGCCGTTGAGTCATTTATGACTCATAGCGACCCTTCTGTGAGAGTAGAACTGCCCCATGGGGTTTCCAAGGAGCAGCTGGTAGATTTGAACTGCTGACATTTTGGTTCCCCGCCGGGCATTTAACCACTGCGCCACCAGGGATCCACCTGGGATATAGTATGTACTAAATAAATATTTGTTGGATAAATGAATTAATTAATTAAATATCAGATTAGGAAAATGTCACAGAATATTGTAAGGGGAGGGTGAATAGCTAGACAATACATGACCTCTGTCAGATTTTGGAATCTGTGGAATGTTGGAAAAAGTCCACGTTCTAGATTTGGACAGATTAGCTCTGACGTTTAATTATGTGAACATTGGCAACTGCCTCTGTTAAGAGGCTGATAGTAACTATCATCTGGAGTTGCTTTTTATTTTAAATCTGTGTTAACTGTGTAGGAAGAGTATAGTATACTGTGCTGCCCAAAAAGGTATTCAATAAATACAAGCTGCTGTAATTTTTCTGCTGTGTTCATCATATGATTGGGAGCAAGTGTTTATTCCTTTTTTTAAAAAAGTAGTATCTGCTTATCAGTGAAAACTTGCAAAGTGCAGAAAAGTAGAAATGGGTGGAGGGGAATTCACTACCCAAAATAATAGCTAAATACTTGATGGAAGGTTAAAGCCATTCTTTTGTGTGTGTGTGTGTGTGTGTGTGTGTGTGTGTGTAATACCTAAAAGTACATAAGCTATACGTACAATTCGACAGGTAATCATAAACTGTAAACATTTAACCACCACTAAATTGAAGAACACTCATTGGCAGATCCCCCCCCATGAGCTTCCTGTGCTCCCCCTCCCCATCACAACCACTCCCTTCCTCCAGAGGTGACCACAGTGTTGATTTCTGTGATAATCATTGCCTTGATTTTCCTTATAATTTATGCTTTTTTAGATAATTGTCATGGTTTGAATTATGTCCCCCAAAAAATGTGTGTATCAATTTGGCTAGGCCATGATTCCTGGTACTGTGTGATTTTCCTGTAGGTTGTAAACCTGCCTGTCTGATGTTAATGAGGGAGGATGGGTGGCAGTTGTGTTAGTAAGGCAGGACCTGATCTACAAGACTGGATTGTGTCCTGAGGCAATCTCTTGAGATATAAAAGGCAGAAGTGAGCAGTGAGACAGGGGGACCTCATACCACCAAGAAAGCAGTGCCAGGAGCAGAGCGTGTCCTTTGGACCGGGGTCCCTGTGCAGAGAAACTCCTAGTCCTGCGGAACACCGAAGAGAAGAAGGCCAACAGAGAGAAAAAGCCTTCCCCTGGAGCTGACGCCCTGAATTTGGACTTTTAGCCTACTTTAACTGTGAGGAAATAAACTTCTCTTCGTTAAAACCATCCACCTGTGGTATTTCTGTTATAGCAGCACTAGATGACTAAGATAATAATGTAGTGTACTTTTGCCTGTTTTTGAACTTCATATAAATGAAATTATACTGTATGTTTTTTTGTGTTTTTTCTTTATATCCGTGCTATTACCTGTATCGAATACACTGATTGTAATGATTATGTAGGATGCCATTTATGATCACCTCACAGTTATTTATCCATTCCACTGCTGAGTGGGTATTTGGATTATTTACAGTGTGATGCTGTTATAAACAGTGCTGCTAAGAACATTCTTGTACATGTATGTGTACATGTCCATGAGTCCCCTAGGCCCTAGAGTCTAGGGTATATACCTGGGAATGGAATGGCTGGGTCTTAGAACATGCGTGTCTTCAACTGTCATAGAAAAATGGCAAAGTGTTTTCTAAAGGGACTGTACCAATTTACGCGGCCGTATGAGAAGAGTAGCAAGTATTAGAGAAACAGTTTGGAAGATCTACTGCAGTATAACAATTCATAGCAGCAGAGTATGTGCGTGTCCTCCAAAGTTTCACCTACATTTGGCGGTGTCCGTCTACTTTTTAGCCCTTATGAATAAAGCTGCTGTGAACATTCTTGTACAAGTTTTTGGATAGACATGTCTTCCAATTATTTTCTAATTTCTTTGGTTTGTTTTTTGACACATAGATTTAGAATTATGTTTCTGAATTTTCCTACCTTTGAGAATTGTTTTTACTAAAAAATTTTTTATAAGGAGTTGTAATTCACATATAAAATTCACCCTTTCAAAGCGTACACTTCAGTGGTTTTTAGTAAGCTCATAAACTTCTGCGGTCATCATCGCTCCAAAAAGAAGTCTTGTGCCCATTACCACTCACTCTCCATTTTCCCTTTCCCCAGCCCCTGGCAGCCACTCATCTACTTTCTGTCTCAAGGTATTTGCCTCTTCTGGATATTTTGTATAAATGGAATTGTACAATATGTGGACTTTTGTGTCGAGCTTCTTTCACTTAATGTTTTCAAGGTTCATCCATGTTGGATCATGCATCAGTACTTTATCCCTTTGGTGGTGAATAATATTCCATTTTATGGATATACCACATTTCGTTTATTTATTCATCAGCTGATGGACATTTGGGTTGTTTTTACTTTTTAGCTCTTATGAATAAAGATGCTATGGATATTCTTGTACATTTTGGAGAAGACATGTTTTCAGTTCTGTAGGAATAGAACTGCTGGGTGGAAATAGTTTTAGTACTATTTTTTGTTATTGATTTTTAACTTAATTGTATTTTGATCATAAAACATA